ATTTTTATAGCCTGATAATAATTAAATAATTTTTCACTGCTTTCCTAGAAGGTGTCTGTCCTTTTTTTACTAGCAAGTATGTTTACTATTCCAATTTGCAGCTGATTACTTAAGATAAAAATGAGTTGCCCTTGGTGTTGCAGAATCCCCTTTTTTTTTTCTATAAAGTTTTTAATTCAGATTTTATTTGTCTGTGCCATACAGTCCATTTGGTGTTCTTTCCTAAATGTATGTGTGTGTTCTTGTGCACAGACAGTTATTGTGAAGTATGTTACTATACTCTTATTTATACGGAGATACTGCCTGGAATGGTTCTGACTTGCAGATCACTACAGGAAATTATTTTGGAATATGGTATTTTAAACTGATACCTAAACTTGTTTGTCACTCACTTCCTTTCTAGGCCAGTGTTGATTTAACACTATTACATTGTTAAGTAAACTCAGTAATGTTACCCTTCTATTTGTTTCCTTGTATTCCATATTTAGTTTCACTGTAGTGGAAGCCAGTAACAACCACTTCAAAGTTGACTCATATGGTTGTTTTGGGGTTTTTTTAATGGATTTCTGAGGTAGTGTAACTTTTTAGTGTGAAGAAGGCCTTGAGAGAACTGTGTGCCAAGAAGAGTAAGTCATGTCTTGAGACTTTTATTTAGACCCTGCTGCAGTATAACACTTGAGAAAAGGGAGCTTTCCAAGCTTATAAATAACAGAAATAAAACATAGGCACTAGGGTATAGTTGTAACTGGAAGGAAGACCCAACCATTGCAACTGGTGAGTTGACTGTCTGTAGTTGCGTTATCAAGGAAATTTACCAAGGAATGGGAGAAAGGAGCAGAGGACCCAAATATTCCAGCATCTCATTTATTTTCAATTCCTCACATGGGACAAATGGTTTTGCCAAGTACTAAGAAATGATCAAACAATTCAGTACCAGATGAAATGGCTGGCTTCTCTTCCAGTTTCATCTCTTCCATTATGCAAGATGACATCTATCATCTGATGTAATTAGTACAGTTGGTTGAGAATAGAGATCTCTTTCTACAGTGTATAAACTTGTATTTTAATTCAGGTAGATAGTGAGGTTTGATTACCTCTGCATATAAATTTTGTTTCTGTAAAAGGCTTAGCTTTTGTATTTTTAACTGCATTTGCAGAACACTGTTTAGGTTAAAGTAACAAACATTCAGCAGTTAAGTCAGAAAAGGAAACTGAAAATTTGTAGGCAACCACTCATCATAAATCTTGCTCCCAAATGAGAGTTACTGACAAATTAAAGTTGGATATCATTAGGGTTCCTTTTCGTTTTAAACCACAGTTCTATTAGGTCTGCCTTTTATGGACTGAAGAGTAACGGAGCCCTGAGAAAAGTCTGGGAATATTCTCTTGGTATCAGGAATGTGAAGTGGTGGTTTGGGGTTTGTGTTGTTTTTTAGAGGATGCTCAAAATAACCACTGGAAAGTTGGTTGCATAATAATTGCATAGCATTCAAAAATAATAATTTTTGTTTGTGTATAGAGAGCAAGATAATATATTTTCTTTTCTTGTTCTTGTTGAGTTTTGTAGTGCTTTTTAAAGCAATATAGAATCAGAAAAGGGTTTGGGTTGGAAGGGACCATGAAGGTCACCTAATTCTAACGCATGTGCCCTGGGCAGGGACACCTTCCGTTACATCAGGTTGCTCAAGGCCTTATCCAGCTTGGCTTTCAACACTGCAAGGGTTGGGGCATCTACAACCTCCCTGGGTAACCTGTTCCAGTATCTCACCATCCTCACAGTAAAGAATTTCTTCCTAATACATAACCTAAATTTCCCATTTTTCAGTTTGTACCCATTACTCCCTGTCCAACCACTGCAGTTCTTGATGAAGGATCCCCCTCTGGCTTCCCTGTAGTCCCCTTCAGATAGTGGAATTTTACTATGGGGTCTCCCATGCAAACTTCTCTCCTGTAGGCTGAACAGCCCCAGCTTTCTCAGCCTGTCTTAGGGAGATGCTCCAGTTGTCTTACCAACCTCATGGCCCTCCTCTGGGCTTGTTCCAACAGTTCTGTGTTCTTACGTCCACCTGATTGCTTTGCGTCCCTGAAGGCAGTAGATAAGAGATTTGAGAATATTGTGCTTCACATGTTTTTGACTTTCCCAAGATTGCTAGGGAGCAAATAGATAAAACCATTAAGCAGAAATGGATCAAAGTATCTGAAGTACTGTGTGCTTGGCAGTCTGTTTTGCTGAGCTATTCTATTCCTCCCTTGGGATTCTCTAAGATTCAATGGGTGGTTTAAGTAGTATGTAATGCAACTGATCACATAATATTTTAAAATACAATGCAAAAAATGTCCACCATCATTTTATTCCTTTGACAAGTAAAAGGAAACAATATATCTTTCAGACTCTGTAAAGATTCAGCTGGTAATCAATGCTGGTAGCATCTTCTCCTGAAAAGACAGAGAAATTCAGGTTATTAGATGGAGTACTCAGCATGCCTGTGTGCACACACATACAAAATTTTGGCTGTCTTAAAATGGAAACAGCCATATAAACTTAGAGGACATCTTGGATCTTCTAAAATTAGTCTTAAAACGAAATTCTTCACATTGAAGTATCTTTTTTCACTCTGATTTTAACAGTTGCCAGCATGTTCTGTGCATTATTCCAAATCACATGCTGGAGATTTTTAATATATACAGTCCCACACACACACTCAGGATTTCTTATGTGCAGCTCGTTTTCAACTTTGGAATCTTTTGAAAAAAGAATCTTTTCAAGAAGAATTGTCAGTCTGGGAGAACCATGTGTTGGAATATGCTGACCTGGGTGGACAGTTGCTTTGCATTTTTATACAGTACTGAAATGATCAGATGCAAAAGGGTACTTTCAACACTAATTCATGCACATAAATTTTGCAGAATGCTTGAAAAGCTTACAATTTAGTGCTTCAGAAACACTGTTTTAGAACTTGGCCTCTACTAACCTACCACTATAACTAATTAGTGCACATATTGGTGCATATAGATGAAGGGAAAGACTGGAGCAAGGAAGACATACTCTTAGAGGAAAATCATAGACTATCCTGAGGTGGAAGGGGATCATCAAGATCATTGAAGTCCAGCTCCTGGTCTTACACAGCACCCACTAGGAGTCACACCGTGTGCCCCAGAGCATTGTCCAAATGCTTCTTGAACTCTGTCAGGCTTGGTGCTGTGACCACTTCCCTGGGGAGCCTGTTCCAGTGTCTAGCCACCCTCTGGATGAAGAACCTTTTCCTAATATTTAACCTAAACTTTCTCTGGCACAGCTTCAGGCCATTCCCTCAGGTCCTGCCACTGGGTAGGTTAGAGAATACTTAAGCAAGCCGGGTGTATCTGTAGGTCTGTGGGCCCTACTGCAGCACATGAGTGCTGAGGGATCTGGCAGCTGTCACTGTGAGGCCACTGTTGATTATTTTCTAATTACCACGATGACCGGGAGAGGTGACAGAGGACTGAAGGAAAGCAATTGTCAACTCCTGTCTTCAAAAAGGGCAAGAAGGAGGATCCAGGGAACTATAGGTTGGTTAGCCAGGCCTTAATCCCCAGGGAAATAATGGAGAAACTAAGCATTCCTGTATACATGGAGGACAAAAGGGTAGCTGGGATTATTTAGCATGGATTGACAATGGAGAAATGATGTTTTACCAGCATGAAGGGAGGGTGCAAAGAGCTTTTTTTTTCAGTGCTGCCCAGTGGCAGGACCAGGGGCAATGGGCAAAAAGGGAAATACAGGAGTTTCTGTCTGAACATCAGGAAACACTTTTTTACTGTCAGTCTGGCTGATCCCTGGCACAGGCTGCACAGGGAGGTTGTCACCATCCATGTAGATATTCAGGTCCTGGGCAGTTGGCTCTGGGTCACCCTGCTTGAGCAAGGGGTATTGGGTTAGACAGGATGATCTCCAGAGGTCCCTTTCAATGTCAACCAGTCTGCAATTCTATGAAATGGGTCTAAGAGTTCCTCAATAAATAGATAAAAAGTATTCTCAGATTTATTTTATTCACTATAACCAATAGAAGAAATAGAAAGAGAATGAACAAGAAGTTAAAACTGTAGATATTGCTTTGTATGTTGCTTTCTGTATGTTAACTAGCAGTCAGTCATGTGTTAACTTACAATAGCTTGGATTGCATGTAATGCCTAGCTAGATCTTCAGATGACATTAACAAGAATGCAGGTTTTTTACTTGCTTGATGATAACTTCTGAAATTCCTTCCTTGTGTGGCAAGGAGCGTCACTTTTCAGCGGATTCTCAAATTCAGTGCAGAAAACACTGGATTAAGTGCAGAGCACAAGAAGATAAGAGTCACTGCTGCTTAGAGCTTTCTGGTGACCAGCTTCTTACAGAAGGGGAAATAAGACTGGGCAGTTTTCATAGGATAGACTCTCCTTGAGAAGAAAGGCAGAATACTTTCTTCAGTGGAATTTTATCAGTGGCAGGTGAAGCCTGTTGTTGAAGTGGAGAGTGTTGCTTTGTGTGGAAATGTCTTGAGTCTCATGCTGTCTTAAAAGGTGAGCGTTGGCATTGCTGCAGCATGGTGGTCCTCATTCAAGTGTTAAAAAGGAGGGCTTTCCAAAGACATCTGGGCCATTTGATACATTCTAGGTATGCTTTAAGATTACTAAATTCTTAAGAAGATTGATTTCCATTAATTGGTTGTGAATCTGTAAACAGAAATATCAGCCCAATTATATGGGCCTAAGAGACAAAGCCTGGTGTTTGCTGACTTCTGTCAACTCTTTTATTGTCTGGATCCCGGTTCATCTCTTTAAAGTTTAAGCTACATTGTTATTGAACTAGTGCTGTCTGTATTAATTATGCAAATAACATTGCTAAGTGTTTTTTTGCCTATATTTGGCATAGTCTAATTCATTGGGTTCAGTGACACTGGTATTTTTCAACAGATTGTGGATTTATAAATATTTGTAAACCATTAATCTAAATTTACTCCTCTGTTTTCCTCTGCCAGGAAGAAGGAAGTATCAAAGAAATTGCAATAACTCACCATGTAAAGGAAGGACATGAGAAAGCAGACCCTTCACAGTTTGAACTTCTGAAAGTATTAGGACAAGGATCCTTTGGAAAGGTTGGTAACTGAACTCCTGTGGACCCAGTTATTCAGGAATATAGCATTGAATATTGGTTGTGAAATACTTAGAACAGTTACAGTTTTGCATTAAGGCAATGCTGCCAAAGTGAAAACTGCTTTCTAAAGTAGTGCTAAGTAGCCACTGTAATTGTGGTGGATCTTTTTAAAGTAGTAATTTCTTTTCATGTTAGCATGATATGTGGATTTCAAAGTTCAATAGAAAAAATGTCTTGATATAAAATAATGGGGTATTTACTGTTAAAATGGAATGTCATTCTTTTCTAACTACTCTTCTCTATTTGAGAGGATGAGGTTGAAATGTTTTTTTTATAAGTGTTCCTGGTTGCTTGCTAATTGTAAGATATCATCAGTACAGAAGCTGGTTTTTTTAGCATGTTGCAATTGTAATGAATCAATTTTAGGCAGTAATAGCTACTGAAGTAAATGTGATACACCCCAGTCATGTTCATTATCTGCTGTAATTTGGTTAAGGTGGAATGTACTTTGATATTTATCTGAACATCTGTTAAAGATTCAATGTTTCTAGCATTGCATGAGTACTGAGATCTCACTAGGCATAATTTTTTTGTACTTTTAGTTGTCCAAATCCAACTTGAAAGCGAAACATTAAGTTCACATAGCAAGACAGATCATCAAGACTGAATTGAATATGTAAGGCAGGACAGGAGAGCCTTTACATCCATTTTCAACCTTAATTGCAATTCTGAATGTGATATTAAGCTCTAGCATGTAAAAAAAAACACCTTAGATATGGTGGGAAACTAGAAAAATAGGTCCAATTCTCTTTTGGTGGCAGTAAGTTACTGTTAGTCGCATTATTGTTCCAGTTAAGTTTGGAAATCTAGGTGCTTAGAAATGATAACATTTTGTACTCCTACTAGTAAGAATTCACTGAGAAACCTGATTCCAAAGGTTTGCTTTAATCCAGAATAATAACCAAGTTTTTATTTGGAAATCTTCAGATCACGACAAGTAAATCATTCAAGGGCAAGGAAAAGTAAGCTAATAAATTATCATTTCAGCAATTGCTTTTATTTATAATACTAAATTCAGTACTTTAATGGGAGGGAGAAGGGGGAATGTGATTTTTTTAAAAGCAAAAATAATAAACTGTCTAGCTGACTCAAATTTCTGCAAAAATGCCAGTCTTGTCCAGTTGTCTTAGCCTTTATGCAAAAATCATTAATATTTTTTAAAAATCTTTAAATATTTTTGTTCTAATAATTTGTGAATATGTCAGTGTTTCCCTTTTAGTTTAAGAAAAGTAAATCTGCATGCTTTTCAAGGTCTCTTGATGATGATTTGGTAGTCTTTGGGTAATGCAAGGAATGTTTACATAAGAGAGAATTGGGCACAAAACCAGACATCAAACTGATTTCACATAACAGTTTAACTTCCTCACGTCTCTGTAGAAAACCTGTGACACTTGGTTGTGGTGGTTTTGTTTTGTTTTGCATTTCATTCCTAAATCTAAAATTTGTCTCTACTGGAATTAATTTTGTGTTAAGGGTATTAAAAACAATACCAGTCAAGAAATCCCATGAGACTGAAGAAGGAAATTAAACACCCTTTAATTGAGGCTGGTTGTTCTTTATTGGTATATGCAAGACTAGGATATTTTTGAAATTCTTTTATACATTTATTTATATTTTATATTTCTGAATCAAATTTTCTTCACATATTTATGGTCATATCTGAAAATTATTTTATTAGCACATTTGTTGTGCCATGCTAAGAATTTCAATAAGATAAAACTAGAGATTAATTTTAAAAAGCTGATTTTTGTGTATCAAATTTGGATGAACTGAGAGAATCCAATTTATTTTTTTTTTACTCACTGAAATTACTTAAATTAGACCAAAATTAAATTGGCAGAGTATCTTCTGTATGAACTTGAATGAATCTTTTTACAATATTAATAAAGAATAGAAGGGGAAAAAAATGAAAGGAGGTTTGGCTTTGCAGAATCTAAAACTGTCAAATAGACTTGCATTGAAATCTTCGTAACTACTTGAATTTCATAGCAAAATGCATTAATTTGACTTGCTTTTATTTTCTTTTAAGAATTCTTTCTAAATTTTAATGCAGGTCTTCCTTGTCAAAAAAATCTCAGGATCAGATGCTAGACAGCTTTATGCAATGAAGGTATTGAAAAAGGCCACCTTGAAAGGTAAGCATTGTTTAGAACAAGGGAAGAGAAATAAAAAAGAAAACTCAGACTTTACCCAAAACTTAATCTTTACACAGCTGCTGCTGTACAGATTGTGTTTTACAGCTTTCTTCTCTGAAACAGGAAATAGCAGAATACACTGCTTTGTTTTGTAAACCTGGAAGGATTAGGGATTAACAATACCATGTTGGTAGCTGGAGAGGACAGCAGGTTCCTTCCCATGGCACTTTCCTTAGGTGATGGTGGGTTAATGGAGTGGTTGTGTTACATCTGCCACCTGACTTGCTCCTTAGCTGTTATTTGAAACTTAATATCCTCCCATTTTTCCTTTGCTGTGTGTCACCAAGGATACAGTTAATGCCTTTTGCTCAGTTTATAATTAGGTCATGATATTTAAAAGCGCTTTATATCAGCTGTTTTATTCTAGAAGTTCTTCATGTGACTTATGTCTGTTTCATAAAAAAAGACTATACAGTACGCTTGCCCCAAACTCTTGGCACGTGATGTCAATGTAGAATGTATTTAATAAAATCTTAAGTTAATAATCTAAGTTACTTGAGCAAAAACAAATTATGAATTTGTCTGTTTCTTGGGTGGTTTTGATCTTGAATGCTATCAGTAGCAAAATAAGTGTAAGCCTGAGCAAACTCAATACTGTCTCAGAGAATTCTGTAAGAAAAATTAAATAAGGTATTTTTTACCATAGATCAGAATGAAAGTCATCTGGTTAAGGCACTAATGCCTTAACCAGATTGTATGCTTGTTCTTTTATGTCGTTGTTTGATAGTTTTGTCTATGTGAAGTTCTTCTAATTCATGACTGTACTGGAACTGAAATGAGAATTTTGGGATGGCTCCAACAGCTTGTAGTGCTTTAGCGATAGTGATGTTATTGATTATTATATTGAATTTCAGTTTTAACGTATCCTTTTATCATAAAATATTTATAGAATGATGGAGGGATCAAAAATATTGGTATATGAACTTCTGCTAAAATGTTGAAATTTTTTCACTTAAGATCTAGTGCTGAATGTCACAGTTCTTACACTTAAAACTATTAAAGAGGAGTGTGTATTTGAACAGTTTCCTATATTTTGATTCCTTTGTGTTTTGTGGCACGTGCCATTCTCATTATTTACTTCCTATTTTTCTGAATTTGATTTCCACTCATTTAAGGTACATTAATATCCTCAACAGGCTTTCATTTCCCAGCCTGTTAATAGCTCAGGACTGGTCAAAGGTCACTCACCAGTTGCTTTTTTAAGATGTTCGAGGGCTTCTCTTCATCACCTTTTGACTGCAGTTTAACCTCATGTAAAAATTACAGTCCAAGCTGTGGTTCTAGTTTTGCCTACAGATAGGAGTGACTGATAAATACTGAAATTGAGAGCATGACTTTTAATTGGGAAAGGAGATCCTCTGAGGCACTAAGAATTCAAGGATGTGAAAGGCTTGAGCAGAAAGGTGACAACATCAAGAGGGTGCCACAGTTCTCAACACTTTGTATCTGGATTATCAGATGCTTTTCATGCATTGCTTGCTTGTGATTAATGTTTTAGAAAGAGCAGAGTTGCAAGCAAATTAAGGTTACTGTTGAAACGTTAATATTAAATTAACTGGAATTAATGCATAATTGCAATTTTCATACTTGCAACTTTTTTATATGTTATACTGTATTTTTAAATAATACAGCATATTACTCGATTTGTCTGTTTCATTAGCGCATCCAAATCTATTTCATAAGGTTATTTTTTTGCTCTGTAATTAAAGATAAAAAGACCACACTTGAAAGCAGTGTACCTGATCCATAAATCAAAATTAGAGAGAATACTTTCATAGAAATGCAGCTGTATTAGCTAGAACACATATATATAACTACACAGTCCAACTTTCTAATGTTTAGAGCAAATCCAAGAATATATACATGTAATTTTGTTTACTGCAGAGACTAGTTTATTAATACACTCTGATAGAAGGTGTTATCTTTCAGTTCCCCTTTATGATGTGGAGAGAGAAACGGAGCCAAAACATTGCTAGAGCATCTGGAATCAAATATATTGAGAAAAATCAGTGCTTCCAGTAGAACCCACAGGGAAATTACAGTCAAACAGAAATCAGATGTCAGTCAAATAATGGTTTATGGCATTATCTGAGACGATCTCAGTTCTTTACACTTCTTTTGCTTGGAGTTTTAAGTCCATACTTTCCATGTAACTGCTGCATGGCTGCAGTCACTTGAAAGTCTTAAATTTTTTTCTCACATGAAGCTGCCTAAAAAAAAAAAATAAAGAATATTCTGAATTTCAATCTTGTAATTCAGATGAACTGCTGAAACAGTTAAACTGCACAACTATCTTGTGACATTTTAATGGCTTTAGATGCAAAGGTCACCATTCAAATGTGATGTTTGCTCTGTATTTGAGCACTTATTTCATAAACTTCCATTTTTAGGAATGTGTTCTGCAAATGGAAATTTCATAGTTGTATTCATTCATGAAAACTTATCTATATAACTTCTTCATAAGTATCTGTGTTATTGTAAGTGCCTGTTTCTGGGAAAACATAGATAAACACCTCAACACCATTTTGCTTCTTGTTCTTTTTCTTTTCTGCCTTGTTATGTTTTAATATCTGAGAACTCTGGATTGTTAATTGTACAATGGATGCTGTTAGCTTAACCTTTGGACAAGACTTCATTCCTCTGAGGTGCTTCCTTAGAAGATACATTTGTGAAAGGAGCAGTAACAAAATGAAGAATAGAGGGAAAGAGAAAAATGCAACATCTTAAACCAGTGAAAGCAAACTTTGATAGTTCTCCCCTGTGTAAAGTACTGAATTTTATATGTGTCCTGGCTGATTCAGAGCTTCAGATGGGAACCAAGCCCTGACTGGAGCTGGCAGGAGAGTTGTGGAGAACAGCTGAAGCAGGTGCTGTGCTCAGCTGACTGCCCTGCCTGTATTCCTGCATTGCTGGCATGTGATGCTCATTTGGGTTTAATCACTAGTAGCATAGGAGAGCACTTGTATGTCCTGTTCAGAGCCACCATGGAGGGACAGCACAGTCAGCTTGAGCATCAACTGCTTCTAATGTTTGATATATTTCTTCATGCACATTTACTCTCAGTAAATGTCCTTAAAATCAAAAATATAATCTGAAGTATACACTACATTGAATCAATGGCATTTTTATTTTAAGTTTATAATAAAGGAAATGAGAAAAAAATTCCTTTCCAAATTGTAAAGGACTTAATATTTTATTAGTGTGAGTTATTTAATGAGTTAAACCAATATAAACATCTTTATGATAGTATGATTATACTTATGCTGCTTGTTTTGCTACAACTTTAATTCTCTATGATTTTCACCACCAGAATGTTTTCTATACATAGCTGTGGCAGTTTTGCTGTGATGTTTGAAAGGTGTACTTAGTATAGGGCAGACTGAAAGGTGGCTGTTTTCTCATTGCTTTTGTTAAATTTATTTGCCTAGTGTTAGGTTTTGTCAATAGCAGAAACCAAAGCAAATCAAAATGCATAAAGATATTTATCAGAAAAAAAGTGAAATTAATTCTCTGTGCTCAGCTGTGTATGGTATAATGACCTGCAGACAGTTGCAATATTACAGAATGGGAAGTTCATCAGGAAGCATATGAGAAATATTGAGTCATAATGTAATTTTTTTTTTTTTTTAATCTTGCTCGCTCATGTTCTATTGTAGTTCGAGATCGTGTTCGGACAAAAATGGAACGTGATATCCTAGTAGAAGTTAACCATCCTTTTATTGTCAAGTTACATTATGGTGAGTTGCAGAAAAATTCATTTTTATAGTATAGCATGTTCGTCAAGATAACTTTTAATGTTTGCTTTGTGCTTCAGAAAATCATAGAAGTTTAGGGTGTTAAGTCCCAGTTGTGCAGTCTTGCTCTGTTTAATTCTCAAGCAAAAGAAGCACATGACTGACTTCATGTAGGGGTAAATCTTTATAGGAGTAAGACTCTGTAGCCCTTTGTATTATTAAAAGAAGTTATCTATTAATAACTAGCCATTATTTTCCAGAACCTCTAATCTTTTGTATGACATACATTTTTTTAGATTATTTCTTACAGTTGCTTTGTTTATTCTATAGAAAATGGGTGCAATGGTTGGTGGAAATTAGCCTTTTATTTTTAATAGTCTTTTATTTTTTAATAGCCTTTTATTTTCATAGCTGTAGCACAATACTTATGTGTAAGAGGGGAGATATCAGTATTTCTAACATGTGGGAATAAAGGACAGTTTCTGGTTTGGTTGGGGTTTTTTCAGCTTGTATTTTTCTTTTAGGGTTTGTTTTTTCCTATAGTTAAACCTCATATCTCTCATTTTCTAATGGGGCTTAAATTATGTACCTTTCACTATTTTATTTGCCGTTCTTTTGTAGACTAGACTAAATGTCCCTGTTAAGCTGAGTTTGACCTAGAGATTCGTTAGTTACTTGTTTGCCCTTTTAAATCTAGCTTCTTATTTTAAAATGTGAAATAAAATTCTAGCTAAACTAAGTAAAGTTTATTTTTAAAGGAACTTTATTGGTGATTTGCTTTATTTTCATATAGCATGGGAATTACTTGGTACATGGTAGGGGATCAGTTACCTAATTCATTTAAATACATTTTCTCACAATGGAGAAAGATAAATTAATTTTAATAATGAAATAAGAGTGAATTACTTGATATGTTATTACTTGATATGTTATTTTCCTGATCATGCATAAAGTTAGGTGATATTTAATTTTTTTAATTGATCTTTTCAGCTTTTCAAACAGAAGGGAAGCTGTATCTTATTTTGGATTTTCTCAGGGGAGGAGACTTGTTTACACGTTTATCCAAAGAGGTACACTTTTTAAATTTGAAATATTGTCTGTTGATAGAATTTGGCTACAAATTGTCTGTATTAGGGGAATTTACATTTTAAATTCAGTTTTCATTGAATAAAATTTTGATCTGTTTTTAACCAGGTACATTTTTTGTTTGGTTGGGTTTCTTTGCACAGTAACTTCATAGAAGGGCTGATGGCAATTTACATTATTTCTGAAAAAAGTCTTGGACAAGCAGTCTTTCTGTGCTGCTTTTTATACCTGGCAAAATCTTCTCCTGTTGCTACCATGTTTAAATATAAGACTCAGAACCTGGGTTTATATAAAGTAAGTTTATGGCTGGTTTTAATATCCAGAATTCAGGGGCAGATAAGATACTCTCTTTTTTTACCCATGAACGCAAAATTGCATTATGTATGAATATTTAAAAGTGAGAATTGTATTCCACTTATTTTAGTAATTATCAAAAAGTGAATGTTTTGCCTCTGCCATGATGGAAATATGGCTGTGTAGATATAGGAAATAACCACTTCAAGGATTTTCATCACCTCATTTCAATTTGATTATAATTCCTTAAAAAAATGTTAACATCTAATATTAACTTTTTAAGTTTTTATTATCCATTACTCCTGTTCAAAAACTCACACCAAATATCTGTTAGGCTAGAGATTGTATCCAATGTGTATCTGGTAGCCTGGATTTGCAGTTGTAGTGCTTTCCATTTTCCTTTGCCTCAGTAGTATCTGGGGCAGCTGGACTGCCACTACAAAGCTGTATTTTTATTAAGAGAGTAGAATTTACTTTGTGTATAGATGTACCCTTATGTCTGTGCTGACCACATATATTCTTACATATGTTTTGATGATGCCATCTGTTTCAAGTTGCCCTTTGTCATTTGTTTTGCCACAGGTAACTAATAGGTTATTATTAGCTCTAAAATTGAGATACTCTTAAAGTTCATAGTTCATTCTTGATTCCCAAAAAAGAATGTATATTGGCTTCCTGCTGATGACTTTTTCATCCTGAGCCACTCACATTTGATAATATTTTACATGGTTAGATGAGAAATATTCATTATAGGTACCTGAATCTAAGCAGAGTTCATAACTGGTGAGTGAAATGGGCATGTTGGATGTATTAATATCACCCTCGTACCACAGCATCTGATTTTGAAATAGATTAGATTAACTGAACTGAAAGTTGTTGCATTTTTCCTGTTGACTACAAAGGGGAAGGTGATTAATTCAAAGCTAGATGTCTACATTGCAGATGTTTAAGGTTAGGAAAGATGAGTCCCATGCAATGATTTTAAATAACATAATGTGGGTGTATTATCCTCCTCATGGGATCTTTTATTATTTGAGCTTTTAAATGTTTCTTATAGAGATTTCCTTTCTTGAATATGTCTGCACTAAATATTGGCTCTTTTGTAGAAGTAACATCAGCAACAACCTATTGTACAAACTTTAGTATTGCTTTTTCTCATGAAACTACTGAGGGGAAAACATTCTCCATTCTTAACTCTTGTTTAAAATTATCTTCAGCTTTGCTGAAATAAAATTTTATGCTTTTGCATAAGAAAGAATTGCCATGCTTTTTTCTGGGTCTGTATGCTTTATCTTAAGGTATTAGTCTTAGAATCTAAAAACAAACCACGTAAAATAACTGAGTAGTAACTGAAGTAGAATCAAATCATGCAGGATATGCTTTTATTTTTATCTTTTTCTGCAGTCTTAGAAGAGTTGAATTATAATGTATTCTGACAGGGATCACAACAGTTTATATATTGGGACAATATGTTCATTTCAATGAATATAAACAGAGAGTAGTTCATCTTCCTAATCCAAAAAGTGGGATTGCTACCTGGAATCCTCCTGTGCTCTTATGCAGGCTGTTCACTTTATTCCTTGTTAACTCCTATGAGTTTACTCATTGATCTACCTTTCTGCAGTTACATCTCAGGCTGCACCTTAGGGCTTTTACCATTGCTGTAACTTCTTTCTCAAAGTACCTAGGGGCAGTCCTTCCAAAATCAAGATGCATATATTTTCTTCTCTCTTATTTCATGAATGAAATTCAGGCATTTGAACTTCTTTGGTCCATTCATTGTCTGTAAATGAAATGGTCCCATCCAACAAATAGGTACTCACATTCTTTAAGTGCTTCCAAAGTATTTCAGTTTCACTACAATGTGTCTGTTTTCTTAAACAATCAGAAATCAGATAATCTCCCAATTTGCAGAAAGAAGAATATATTGCCTTTAAAAGTTATTTTTCAAGTATGTCCAAGTATTTCAAGTATGAAATAGTGTGGGTTATAAAATGCTAGTTTTTGTGTAATAAGAAATTTTGAATTTTTAGTGTTTTGTGTAGCAATGAATTCAAGGTAAGAAACCCTTCTGAAACAGCACTATTGGTATTTTGTTTGTGCTGGTGTAACCTTTACAGATTTCACATGTGAAATACATTCTGTTAATTTTTCAGGTGATGTTCACAGAAGATGACGTTAAATTTTATCTGGCAGAATTAGCACTTGCTTTAGACCATCTACATAGTCTTGGAATAATATACCGGGATCTAAAACCAGAAAAGTAAGGCTCCTCTGTGAGAAATGCAGATATTAATTTCATTTCTGTAGCACTTCTTCCTATGCACTTTTTCCCAACTGTTAAACTTTGGTAATTTACTATATAAATTGAACAGAGGGAGATGGGGAGGTTTATGAGCTAATTTCATTTAAAAGGTTGTTTTTCACCTGTCTCAAAGAGGAAAAAGGGTATTAGCTTAGGACTTACAGGGGCTTGTTGAGGGAACTTTAAACTTTGTTTGAAGGGGAATGGGGACAAAGCCAGAGGTAAGCCTGTGGATGGCACGCCACTCTTTGAGGGACAGTGTTCTACCAAGGTCCTTTGGTTTGCCATGGAGGTAGAGTTTAAGGGATGGAGGTCCTTTCAGCAGCAAGGATGAAAGGAATATCAGTATGTTAGAAATACCAGAAGCAGAAGACAACCAAAAAAAAAAAATTGTACAAATCAGCAGCAAAAGGAGGACCAAGGAGAATCTCCATCCTTTGTTGGATGTGAGGGGAAACATAGTGACAAAGGATGAAGAAAAGGCTGAGGTACTTTATGCTTTTCTTGCCTCAGTCTTTAATAATAAGACCAGTTGTTGTCAAGAAGCCCAGCCCCCTGAGCTGGAAGATAGATTGGGAGCAGAAGGAAACCCCCATAATTTAGGAGGAAATGGCCACCAGAATGCCATGCAACTTAGACCATGGGACTGGATAGGACTCACCCAAGAGTTCTGAGGGAGCTGGTCAAAGAACTCATCAAGCCACTTTCAGTCATTCATCAGAAGTCAGGGTCAACCATGGAGGTCCCAGGACAATGGAAGCTGGCAAATGTGACACCCAACTATAAGAAGGATTGGAAGGAGAAACCAGGAAACTACAGGCATGTCAGCCTGACCTCATTGGCAGGGAATGTCATGGAGTCATCATCTTGAGTTCCGTCATGTAACGTGTGCAGGAGAACCAGGGGTTCAGGCCAGGCCAGCCTGAGTTTATGCAAGGCAGGTCCTGCTTCACCAACGGGATCATCTTCAGTGATGAAGTGACCTGCTTAGTGGATGAGGGAAAGGCTCTGGATATTGTCTACCTAGACTTTAGTAAAGTCTTTTGTGACATCCAGCCCTTAAGGAGAAAGGACCACCCAAGATTTGTAAGTGCTCCTGGTGGTTAGGAACAACATACGTCAGAGGATCTGAAAAAAATCACAAGGTTTTATTAGTAAATTATATACCTGGCATGGAAATTGGTATTTTAGTCCCTGACCTACTATAAAAGCACATGCAGTGGGATTTAGATGAAGAGAGAAGAGAAAAGGTGAATTAAAGAGGGAGAAAGAGAAAGAAAGAGTTCACCAGTCTTGGCTACAGTGCCAGTCCAATAGATGGGATATCCAGGGTCCCGGGTGTCATCGGTTGGGCTTGGTGGGGGTATGTTTTTATAGATAGGTTTCCTTGCCACGAAGCTAAGTTTCTTGTTTTCCATACAAATTAGTTGTTAGGCACAGTCTGCTCTTTCAGGCCTTTCTGGAAATAGGTTGGGGTTTTTTGGGAATATTGGGTGGTCCTTTCTTCCTCTACAGTCCATGTCTGCTTCTCAACCTCATTCCTGCACTTGTGCTGTACTGGGTTGTGCTTATCTTCAGGAATTAGAACAAGGATGTTTGTCCCGGAAAAGTGCTGCCCTATCACTGCATGGCCTCTTCTCTGGGCACATCTTGTTCTTTCTCAGTGTATGATTGCCCACAATCCTTGCTTATTACTAGCAATCCTTATCTGTTGTTACCAACAATCTGTGGTTGGCCCCAGAGCCAAATGACTTTCAGCATATGAGACATGATTCTGTGCCTTTGACACCATTTCCCACAGCATTCTTCTTGCTTCCCATGGTGTGGATGAATGCACTCTTCACTGGGTAAAAGACTCATTGGATGACCAGGCCCAGAGAGTGGTGGTGAATGGAATTATATCCAGCCAGAAGCTGGTCACCAGTGGTGATCACTCTGGGTGATCCCAGGGCTCTGTGTCGGGACCAGTCCTGTTTAGCATCTTCAGTGGAGATCTGAATGAGGGGATTGAGTGCACCCTGAGCAAGCCCACAGACAGCACCAACATCTGCTGGTGGGCAGGGAGGCAAAGTTTGCATATGGCACTTTAGGACAGGCTTTAATGGTTCCCACCATGGAAACTGCAAAGAGAAGGGGACGGGGTCTGGGTCATGTCTTACCCCAGCATGAAATGCAGATGGAGGAACTAAATCCACTGTGTAGGGGGTGTTACAAAATCCAGTTCTTGAATGCTTTGCATGCTTTGCAATGCAGTGATATTCACTGGTAGTCAAGGACAGTTGCATCTCAGAGAAGTGTGGCCTTTCTTGTGATTGAAGTGAAAAGACTGAAGCCTAAGGTCTGCTCCCAGTACAGAGCCTGTGGGTCCTGTCCTTTGGTACAACATGAGGATAATTATTACTCGATGTTACTTGAAATGGTCAACAACTTGTGAAATTATAATTACAAATTAATACCTGTTATGTATATGTATGAAAACATAACCTGGTATAAGAGAAATAGAACTATGCCTCTGTTTTTAACAATTACAGTGGTGCTGCATGTGCTGCAGATGGCCAAAGCTGTTACTACATGTTACTACATACTGAATTTAATCAAATGGTTGAATAAAACTCCGGTAAATTTGTTTCTTAATCTTTAAAAAGAAACAGTAGAAGGAAAAGAAAATGTGTGGTTTGAATGTATCTTCTAATAATTTATTTTCATGCAGGTTTAATTCTCCCTCTCTTTGTGTATCCTCTACTGTTTGTTCCTAAATGTTGTCAGTATGTTGTCTGAAACAATACTTAAGATGTTTTAATTAGTTTTTAATATTATTTTTATTGTTTTTTTAGCATCCTGCTTGATGAAGAAGGACATATCAAATTGACAGGTGAATAAAGGAATTACAATACTAGGATCATTTCTGTTCATAGTATAATCTTTGCATTTTCCTTTTATTACTTCCTGAAATAAGTAAATTTAACTGAGTGGTAATTTAGCTGCAGAAGCAAGCAATGTAATTAGCTTGAAATAAATGAAATCTATAAATATTTCAATAAGATTTACAAATATATCTGACTTATAGACCTATGATAATGTGGGGAAGAAAGGATAATCCTGTAATTCCCATCTTAGTGTTCAGTTGTCTATATGAATGATAAAAGCATAACACTTTTTTTTTTAGTTACATTTGGAATTATTTCTTTTCATTCAGATTTTGGCTTAAGTAAGGAGTCAATTGATCATGAAAAAAAAGCCTACTCTTTCTGTGGAACAGTGGAATATATGGCACCAGAAGTTGTTAACAGACGAGGCCATACACAGAGTGCAGACTGGTGGTCTTTTGGTGTTTTAATGGTAGGTTTCTGGTAAATATAAATAATAGCAAAATTGTGATTTGAAAGGGCTGGTGAAACAAATCAAACCCTAACCCGTAAGGTGAGCTTCACACGAATTTTAACTACAAATGAAATCTAAATTGTGTGAAATCAATAACGCCACAGAGTTTGATGAAGAACATGGACTAGGTTTTATATCCAGTAATGTGCCATATTTTTATTATCATCTAATTAAAATATTTTATATCTATGGTACGTTATGGGGACCAAGAGCAATAAGGAAGTATACAGAAAAGTGCTGTCTATTCCAAAGTGGGGGAGAAATTAATATTCAAATTTAAAATTTGAATTTACATTCAAGAGGAAAAAGGAGATCGGTAACTTTCTAATTAGAGTCTGTGGTGTAATTACAAGTTAGTGGAATAATAACAATTGTTAACTATTGTTCTCACACATCAAATTTATCTAAATGACACCTGATACGGGATATAGTTTCTCAGTTGCTTATGGTGTTTCTGCAAGGGGTAATTACTGTAAAATTGCAGGGTCACGGGAAATATTATGTATATGGAATATGAATTGGAAAAGAATAATTATGTTTGGTATTTAAGGAATGCTGAAAGACTTAATACTAAAAATATTTGTATGTATTTTTGACATGAAAATTAAATAATTGTATAAATGTATTCATTTCTTACTGCTTCTGCTACATAACTGTAACAGTACAACTAATGTGTGTGCTTTATAGTACAAGAAGGACTCTTGTGTCTGAAAATAGGTCATCCTATTGCTTTATGGTGATTAGAATGCTGTTGTGATCTGAAAACTGACTATGTAAAAGTAGCACCTGATAACAGAACTCTCTCCAGACAAGCACACACACTCCTCACAGCCACGCATTTTATCGAGAACAGTCAATTAAAAGATAATTGCAATGTACTTGCAGAATATTTGTTGTTGATAACACAAATATAATTAAACTTCAGCTTTAATTTATAAAGCTAAGAAACATAATTTGCTGTTTATCAAATGGATATGGTATAATTGAAAATTGCTGTAAGATGTTAGCTGTGACTAGGGTAGCTTTCATAGTCTTAAATGCACTGCATGCTAAATACATTGGCTTCTACTTTGAATACAAAAATATGACCTTAAAAACCAAATTCTGTAAAGTAGTATATGAAATACAGTGCAGCTTTCTCTAGGACATATTTTTGCTGCTTGCATTTATAGTTTGTAATTTTCATAATCCATCTGTAAGTATCCCCTTTTAATTGATTCTTAATTTCTGAGCTGATCTAAAATTCAAGTGATGGTTGGTGTGGTATAAGTACACAGTAACTAGAGTGAACAGAAGTTACATCATAGAAATGGAGGCTTTAAAGATATGACAACAAATCATTTGGCTTCTTTTCTTGTGCCACTAGACACAAAGTTTGCTTAAGCCATTGTTAAGAACTATATTCCAATTTGTCCTTTAAAACAGCAACAGTTTTAAGGGATGTCATACAGGTAAAAACATTAGTTTAAGGTTTTCAGAAGCACTGAAGTACCATCCTCCTGAAATAAAACATAAATAGGAAAGGCCAATGTTTGCTTATTCTATAAGCCTATTATCATTGGCCTATTAATGTTGGAATATAGTATTTGGGAGGGGTGACAAAGAATACACATGTTGAGCTGTTAATACAAATATATGTGTTTGTGACAAATTAGGAGCTTGTTAAAGAAACTGTATTTCCTGCAAGTGTAAGTGGAGCACTCCAAAGTTACCTTTTTAAAAAGGTTTTATTTTTTTAAGTGCACCTTGTGAAGATCTTTCTAAACCACAAACAAATTTTTTTTTTTCGACTTACAGTTCTGGTTTATCCCTCTCACATCTTCCTGACTTTGTCTTAGGTATTGAAGTTAAAAGTAGTCTTTTTTTGTGTTGGCATTATTATTAAATTTAATTTTTTCAATATATCAGTAAGAAATATTATCTAGACTATAAAGTATCTACCAGTAGTGAAGAGATGGCAGAAAAAATTCAAATTTTATTTCAATTAAATGGTGTTTTAAAGAATACTGTTAGTGCAACTTCATGCTCTTACTGTAGATCTACAAATACTGTAGTCACACATTATTTTTCAAGTTATCCACTCCATCTTTTATGTTTAGGAGGCTGAATGTTTGGGTCATACAAGAAAAGAGAGGAATAGAGGTTACCTTGTGTTCAGGATACTAGTGTTACATTTGCATAAGCTGTTCAGAGGGTTCCTTTATAATTATTTTAATTTTGATGTCGTTAACCGTATGCCATGAAATTGCGTTGAACTAAATTATTTTGCAGTCTTTAAATCAAAAAATTCCAATTTCTGCCTAAGTGCTGGCTGCCACGACTGCTGCCAGACTGCTTTCACTGCCTCACTTAGATCTGATATCCCTGCAGCATACTGCAGTCCAACAGGAGTGCCTTTATATTTATCTATTTTTACTCAGTCACTTTCAGAACAAATCAGTATTTTAGCAGTGTCTGTTGCTTACTGCCAGGCACTGTAGAATGTGCATGCACGTACTGTGTAGCTCTTCCGTGTTCCTTCAGGCTTTATTTCCACTGTATGCATACAGTAACCACTTTTCATCATGCATGTCTTTGTCAATCAGCTAACCTTTTCCCCTTCCCAATGAAGGCTGTGTACATGCCAATTTTCAAAATTTTGACCTTTTTTAAAAACTTCTGCATGAGGAGAAATCATCACTAACTTTTGAAAGGAAAACCTTTTTCCCTATTCTCTCCCCTTTGTTTAAAAATAAAGTTGTACAGATCAAGTCTTCCTAGAACAAAATTTTTAGGCAGAAATGAAACACAGAACATTATAGTCTAAGTTGTTCAGATAAAAGGATGTAAAGCAAGTTACCAATATAGGAAAATATTTTGCAGCTTTAAAAATGGCAAAGGCTGCTCAATGTTCTTAGCAATTGAAACTGTACAATGAAGTTGTTTTGTGCAGACTTGATTGTTAGCATGCATGAATTTTGGAAGGTTAAGATGCTAAGTAGTTTTGTCAAAAATTAGTTTTTGTCCAGGTAATGTAATTGATGAAAGTTTTACTCTATACAGTTTGAAATGCTCACTGGTACTCTACCTTTCCAAGGGAAAGACAGAAAAGAAACCATGACTATGATTCTCAAGTGAGTACACTCTTATTTATATATCTCATCAGGTATTCTACAGGGATGCCCTCCGGGCTGCAATATCTAATTTCTACTCCTCCCTCATTTTCAAAGGTACTGGTAAATCCTCACTCCCTATTCCATATTATTAATTCCCTTTGCTGCCTATCTAATTTGCTTCACTATTCCTCCACCATACCAGGTACAAAGGATTTCATAGCAGCTCTTTAATCTGTAATAATAACTTCTCCAACCACATGATCTCTCACATCTTATTTCCATAATATTTTAACTTTCTTATCCTTTTTGATAACATGTGCATTTTTCCTTGTTGGGTTTTTTTTTACTTTGTTTTAGGTTTTTGGAGTTTTTTTGAGAAAGTGTTTTCACTCCTTATCCTTCTTTATCTTACCAGCTCCCCCCAATACTCCTCCCTTCTGTACTCTCCTATGACTCACCTAAGCTCCAATTTTTCCCTTTGCTGTTTTCAGCATAGATTTTGCATTAGCTCTATTGCAGGAATTGCTTTCCTTCATGCAGTTAATGTTCTTGGTTTTGCTAATGAAGGTCTGCTTTTTTCCTTGCCAGTTCCCCACACGTTCTTTAAACTAGTACAACCTATGGCATAAATGCCCCATTTTTGGGACGGTAGCCAAACACTGTGCAAACAAGTCTGTTTCCTCATATCGTAGGTTCACTTCTCTGTTTCCATCTCTTTTTAACTAATACAATTTTTTTCCATGGAAGTTCATAAGATTATCTTAGTTTTCTCATTTGTTTTCTGCTTCATTGTTTAGTATTGTTCTCAGTCCTGTTAACCACTTGTCTACCCATATATCAAAGGTGGAATTTCTTTTGCACTGAAAGTCTGTTTTGAAAAATAGATATATGGAACTCTTTCATATTTTCTGTAAATAATAATTAGAACGTGAAAAACACTAGAAAACACACTCATCGTTTTCCTGGCTTTTGCTTTCATAATGCATACATGTTATGTTATTCTTTGCCCTTGTTTTTTTTTCTTCATCTTATTTGCAAATATATTTAGTGATGCTAGTTTCTTCTGCTGCCTCAGCACTATGCCAGATCAAATCTTTATGTTGTGATTATTCAATGTCTTTTAACTAAAAAGTTCTATCTATTCACAGCAAACATAAACTCCTTCTGACCACCTCCTATTTACAAGAAACTAGTCTGAGATAGTCTGCTGCACCCTCACTTGGTTCAGGAGCCTTTTTTTTCTGTGTCTCATGAGTCATATCTTTCTCTTCTTCTCTTTGCCTGCATGTGACTCTGCTCTGTTCCTCAACAATCTTTTCGCTGTTGCTATAAATATCTTCTGTATTCAGCTGCCATGTAGAATATCCTTACATTTTTCCAGGTAATTGATGTTCATAGTCATTCATAGCCCAGAGAGTGGTGTTGAATTGAGTGAAATCCAGCTGATGGCTGGTCACAAGTGGTGTTCTCAAGGGGCCAGTCCTGTTTAACTTCTGTATCAACAACCTGGACAAGGGGATTGCGTGTCAGTTTGCAGGTGCCCCCAACCTGGATAAGAGGGCATATGGGTCTGCTGGAGAGTAGGAAGGCTGTACAGAGGGATCTGGACAGGCTGAATCAATGGGATGAGGCCAATAGGGTGAGGTTCAGTGGGGCCAAGTGCCAGGTCCTATTAAGGGAACATACTAGACTTAGGGAAGAGTGGCTTCAAAGTTGCCTGGCAGAAAAGCTCCAGGGAGTTTTGGTCAACAACTGCTGAACATAAACCAGAGTGTGCCTATGTGGCCAAAAAGCCAATGGCATCCTGGCCTGTGTCAGCAACAGTGTGGCCAGCAGCCCAGGGCAGCAATTGTCACCCTGTATTCAGCACTGGTCATGCTGCACCTCAAATCCTGTGTCCAGTTTTGGGCTTCTCACTATGAGGACATCGAGGTGCTGGAGTGAGTCCAGAGAAGAGCAGTGGAGCCAGTGAAGGGTCTGGAGCACAGATCCTGTGGGGAACAACTGAGAAAACTGGGTTTGTTTATTCTGGAACATGCACAGGGGAGGCCTTATCACTCTAAAGCTACCTGGAAAGGAGGCTGTAGCCAGGTGGGGATCAGTCTCTTCTCCATAGTAAGAAGCAACAGGATGAGAGGAAATTACCTCAAGTTGCACTATGGGAGGTTTAGATTGGATATTGGGAAAAATTTCTTCATTGAAAGGGTTGTAAAGTATTGGAACAGGCTGCCCAGGGAAGTGGCTGATTCGCCATCTCTGGAGGTTTTTTAAAAAGATGTGGCATACAAGGATATGGTTTAGTGGTGGACTGGGTGGTGCTGGCTTAATGGTTGGACTTGATAATCTTAAAGGTCTTTTCCAACCTAAGCGATTTGAGATTTCTATGATTCTGTAATAACTTTCATATTTCATTTGAGAATGTATCTCTTAATAAGATCCAACTTCTTTCCAACTTTTTTCACCTTCTAGTCTTTTCAAATAGCTGTACAGAAAGTGTGCTATGATATAAAGACATTTTACTCTCTTTTAATGTTTCATGTTCTTATGAATATTATCTTGCATAGAAGTGTTTTTCTTTTCGTCATAAAAGCAGCTGAAAACCAGAAGATATTTTGAAGTGTTTTCTGATTAAGTCCACACTTTTTTTTCTAGTCTGTTTTCTTTTCTTTTCCACATACCTAGCATATTTTTCCTTAAATTTTTCATAAAACTTTCAAATGGACAGGCGTGCATATGAATTCTGGTTTCCATAGTGTATATTTACAATATATTGCTTTCCTTACCTTATGTTCCTAAAAATCCACAGAAAATGCATTCTTCTTAAAACAAATTTTTTCAAGGTTTCTTTATTTCTTACAATATTATCAAGACAAATTTTGTTTATTCCTGTGTGTTTTGCCTAAAACTAGAAAGCTCTGCAGTTTGAAGTAATCATAGGTTGCTGAAATTTTAAACATTTTTTTCCTTAAGAGGTACGCCTTCATATAAAACTTTGCCATTGTCCATCAGGAATGTCAGAAAAAAAATGCTGTCACTCATGTAGTTGCAAAATATAGGAACTCTGAGGAGACCTGCCTTTCCTTCTCCTGTCATGTGCCTGATACAGGATTTTGTGAAAGGTGGTGGTGCATGCCAGTCAGGAAGAGTTGGATGGCTCACTGCCCATTTCTCCCCTCCTCTGGTGGCCTTGATCTGTCTGTAGTATGTTTTTGAAGAGCCTAAAGAAGCCAATGTTTTTCAGCTTTTCCTCCTCCCTGCCCTAGCTTTTTTAATGCTAAAAGGAATGGAAAATTTACTAAGTTCTAGTTTTAAAGTAATGAATAGTAAATCAGTGGCAACACATTTGCATTTACACAAGTGATGCAGAGGTGAGTATCTACAAATAGCTGGAATACAAGACAGATCAGGTTCTGATTGAAACACAGAGCTTGTGTCATGGACTGTTACAGAATACAAGCTACAGGCTGAATTAGTGATGGAGAGGAGGGAATTATACCCCTCCTTACCATTATCATAGTTACAAGAAAAAGTAAGCCCTAGTAGCCTAGTAAGCCCAGAAAGAATGAAGGCACAACATTAAAGGGAGAGAAAAAAAATATGACAGGGATTACAAAACAAAATTAAATTAAAGAAGTACAAAAACTTAAATCTAAAAATTCAAGGCTGGCAAATTGTAAAAGTATTAAGTAATAAATTGGGGAGGGGAGCAAAAAGGAAGAGTGCGTCTTTTTGTTTTGGGGTTTTTTTTTTTGTTTTTTTTAACCAGCTAATCCTGCAAGATCTGTCCTACCTTAATTGAATTTATGTATTCTAGTTTGTTTCCTGGGTCATCTTGGTGTGTGTCCTAGTGTGGTACTTTTCTTAGTCCTTCTATTATATAACTATCAGAATGCTTTGGTGTCATTTGCCAGTAACTGGACCTATAAGTGGATCAAAGCATATTATGAAAATTTACAAGTTTATAAACTGCTATTCTCTATCTATACATCTCTACATGTTTTTCCACCCTTTCCTCTACTTAAGTTCCTGAGTCATTACTGAAAATACTACTTAAAAAAAAAAAAAATTAAAAACCCAAACATGTTTACATGACTGACAGCACTTTTGCTCTGTGTCTGATGTCTGAAGGCAATTTGTCAGTGATGCTACTTCATTTATTATGGACTTGTTGAATGGCAAAGGACAGGGGGAATGCAGAGTTAATCCTTACCTAGATATGTTTGTATACTATTAATTATTTTTATTCTCTAGGGCCAAACTTGGAATGCCCCAATTCTTGAGTCTTGAAGCACAGAGTCTCCTGCGAATGCTCTTCAAGAGAAACCCAGCAAACAGATTAGGTAAAGTTTTTAGCAGAATATTTTAAATTTGATCATAATGTTCATAACATCAGTGATCATTAAACTGACTAAAATTTTGTTTCCTATGTAAAATAGGCTTTAAAGGAAGAATGTAGTTTGCCCTTCAAGTGGCCACCAAAGTATTATCATCTCTGCTAGTCATACCTCTAAAATTAATGCAGAAGGAATAAGAAATATAATTTTGCTAGCCATTCCTTTTACCAAGAAGAAAATAATTCATAGACATTTTTCTTCCTTATAAAAGGAGCAGGTCCAGATGGAGTAGAAGAAATTAAGAGGCATGCATTCTTTTCCAAAATAGATTGGAATGTGAGTATCTAATTGAAAATCAATCCGGTAAATTTCTTGGTTAAATCTTTTATGGTATCATATAACTTTTCCATTTACAATTTGTCCCTTCTCTTCAGAAATTGTACCGGAGAGAAATTCATCCTCCTTTTAAACCTGCAACTGGCAGACCTGAAGATACATTTTATTTTGACCCTGAGTTTACAGCAAAAACTCCAAAAGGTAAAGAGATACGAATGAGATAATTTACATATTCAAAAGACAGAATTTGAATTTCAATTTTTTTTTCTTTCAAAATTTGATAGAAATTGTTGTCTGTACAAATTCAATGTGCTACCAAAATATCAGTACTTAATCTCCTATCTACATGTTAAAGACTCTGCTTATAAGTATATGATGTATTTTTCAGATTCACCTGGTATTCCACCCAGTGCTAATGCACATCAGCTTTTTCGGGGATTTAGTTTTGTAGCTATTGCATCAGATGATGAAAGCCAAGCAATGCAGACAGTTGGAGTGCATTCAATTGTCCAGGTGAGTACATTAATAAAAAGAAAAATCAGTGTTGTCTCTTGGTGGATGGATTGTTTCCTTGTCATAGAATGAGATATCATGACAAAATCATTGTCATATTTTATTCAAGAAAAGTAAAGATCAGATTATTTCATCCAAACAAAATCTCTGAAGGTACAGAACCTGTATAATTACTGAGCAGCTATAGGTTCAAACAGGCTTCAACCTTAAATGAAAACATCCTACCATATGTACTGTATTAACTCTTTAATGTCAAGCCATAACTATAAGGTGGAGTGGAATAATAGATATATTTATTTATTGGTTTTTTCCCCCCCATACATGAAAATGTCAGTTGACTCCTGCAATGCAGTAGTAGAAAGCACTGGAGTATGATTGTGAATTGTATCTGGATGTTCTGGACTGCTGGAATCCGTGGCTCAGGACATATTCTGTCTCTCCTAAGCCACTTGAAGTTAGTTAGCTAATCTGTGCTTTTTGTGGCTGGTATCAGTGCATCATACAAGTCAGTGTTACAGTGCACACTCAAGCTTTGGCTTCCTTGATGTATTTCAGTGACTCCAGTAGAGTCCCCTGTACTAATAATTGTGAGGTTGTCACCTGGAAGAGGAGACCTCTGTAAAAATTGTGTTTGCCTCCTCTCTCTGCTTTCAATAATTACTGAGTCATGAAAACCAACTTATGTTCTAAATTGTGTTGAAAACTTCTTAATGTATAGGTAGGAATAAATGATTTGGTTTATGATTGGATTTATTTGTATGATTTGGTTTATTTGTATTTTTCGGTGCACTGGTAGTTTGCAAATGTCTGAGAAAATTTTAAAACCCCACAATTTATACAGAATGTGAATAATAGCCCTTGTATTTCTTTAACACTCCCATGTCTAGAATTGTTGCAACGTGCTTTTCTACACATTACTGTTTCATGTGTAATACATTTTTAAAGATATAAATTTAGATCCTTTTTTATTCTCAATAATATTTCTGATTTGATATATGCATCGGAATTATTTCTGATCCTGGGATCTTACTAAAAGTTTCTGAAAGCTGCTCTGTGCTGCTTCATTCCCACATAATTTTGTAGATGGCATTTTTGCTCTTTGTATATGGTTTCCTTCTCTTTTAAAGGTCTGTTTCTCTGCTGCCTTTCCTCTGTGCCCCTCAACAACTTCCTCACTCCTATTTCCTCTTTTCTGTGCTGCAGGATACCCAGATGGTTTCCTGCAAATGCTTTGCATCCTTTGCACAAACTCCATACACTAGAACACCATTTCCTTCCCTTACAAGAGTGAGCACTTGTCCTCCTTTCAGCTTTTTATTTCTGTGAAAGGATTTTTGACTGCCATTCCATGCAATTCCGGCCAATCTGATTCTATTCAGTGTGTCTGAATTTTCCAGCTGGCATTCTGTCTATTCAGATAATGGAGACACTGATACTACTTTACCATTGTTGTATCACTTTTTTATCTTGAAGTCTTCTGATTTTTGGGGGGTTTGAGTTTTATCTTTAAATTAGTAAAGCAGCAATCAGAAAAATAATGTTGTCAGTTTCTAAATTACAGTGTGCATTATTTACAGCATGTGTAATATATAATTTATCTTATACTAATTTTGAACAGAAGGTAGTGGGGATTTAGACCACTTTGATCTAGTAGAGTCATCAGTTAAAATTTTAAGCAAATCAATATGAATTTTTAAAAAGTTATTTTAATATAAAAATCAGTTACATTTGAAGAATATTCATTAACTGATAGTGTTATTTTGGTAGCAGTTGCACAGGAACAGCATTCAGTTTACTGATGGATATGAAGTAAAGGAAGATATTGGAGTTGGCTCTTATTCTGTCTGCAAGAGATGTGTTCATAAAGCTTCAAACATGGAATATGCTGTAAAGGTAATTACTTTGTTATAAACCACACTTCTCAGATTTTAGCATTGGGCATCTTTTATTTGCGATAGAGAAATAGAGATTAAGGGATTTTTTTTTTTAATATAAAAAACTGTAAAAGTTAATTCATAAATTCTCAAATTGGTAAGGAGTTCATAACAGTCTTCAGTCTGGTACAACTTCCAGAATAAACTTCAACTCTGTTTTGGCTTCCTCGATTTCAGCAATGTTTTTAATGTTGCTTTTGTTATTCTATAGAGATTTTTAGCAATTCTATGAAGGCATGAAGTTCTCAGTTGAAATCAGTAGATTTCCCAGAACTGCAATGATAAGTTTTTTTGTCTTTCTGTGTAATAACCTGGGTCTAAATGATTACTATAAAAGCAAGAGTATGGATTAGCAGACTTTATAAGTGGGGGGAAAATAAAGCAGTCTTTAAATTCTATTCTGTGAGGCAGTTCTCTTTTTGAATTGTTGAACAGCTTACTACTTACTTATGTAAAATACAAAGATTAATTCAGTATGTAGATTTCCTCCTCAGAACCTTCCAGTTTCAATCTGGTAGTTAAATACTTGTTTTTCTTCTGGTTCTGGCCAGGAACAGATTTGACTTCTGTTCTTTCAATTTGAGGTAATTTCTTGAAACTGCAAGAAAGTCCTGGCATAGCTGATAATTCCCTATCTAGTTATGACACTTGTTGTGAAGAGTCACTTACTTTTCTATTGCCTCTCTTAGGGCATTTTTTTCCTCAAGGAATCTTGAAAAAAACAATAAGATATCAGGGTCTGATGTGTTAGCAGGGGATGGGTAGCAGTATGGGAATAAGGATGAAGGGGTAACAGAACAATGGAAGAGACATTATAGAAAATTGTGCAGTTCAGGAGAGGAAAATGTGGGAAGAACGAGAATACATTTAAGTAGGGTAAACTGTTACTTTGCTTGCTTGAACAAGGTGAACTTTAGAGCAAGAGCGTCATTCATTTTGTAATGAATGTATATTTGAATTAACTCTGAGAATTTTTTACTTTTTCTATTTCTTTTTATTCTCTTTCTCTCCTGCTTTCTTTGCTGCACCAAATATTTGAGATTAGCATTGTGAAAGTCAATTCATTAGCATAATCTGAACAATATCTTGTGTTAAATTAGGGGCTTCCTATTTTATTAAATAATGGATCACTGAAGTCTTACCTACTGAACAACCTTGCATTATTTATCACAAAGACGTTAGGTCACTTATCCTCCAAAATTATTTTCAAAAGAGATTTTTTCATTTTTCCCAGTATTTTTTGCTTTGCCTTGGTTTGATTTTCCAATTTAACAGACTTGGTTTTGGTTATAATCCATGCCTTTTACAACAATAAATACTGATTAACTATTGATGCTAATAAGCATACCAAAGCATTACACTAGATCCACAAAAAGAACTATGCCTATGCCTGTACATGCTCTTACAGATTATTGACAAGAGTAAAAGAGATCCAACAGAAGAGATTGAAATCCTGCTGCGCTATGGACAGCATCCAAATATTATTACTCTGAAAGATGTAAGTAGTGTTTTAAAGACATCCTTTAGTGTATTACAATTGTGAATAATTTCTAATTTGAGAGATGAGAAGCTACATATTTTAGATTTATGTTCATGTTTTTTCAGTATTTAAAAATAAAACAATGCAGTTTATTCAATAGTGTTCATTTTTTTATTGGAATGTCTTGTGTTTTCTTTTAAAGATGCATATATTGTGGTACAGTCTTATTTTGATGAGTCAAATAATTCATCCTTCATAAATCTTAGCAGAAGAGTAATTTATTTAATGTTGGCCGTGTTTTTAAAGGATAAGGGAAGTTTTTGATTGCTTAGTTGACTTCAAATCTGATTTTCCCTACATTAATCAAAAGCAATTTTTATGTACATTATTATATAACAAAGGACTCACTGTTAGCACAGTACCCAAAGTAATTTTCATGGACAGTAGCGAGTATTACTCAGTAGTAGACAAAATCTTACCATGTCCATAGTTTTCACTCTTTTTTACCCAGTATCTTTATCTGGCTTCTGTATGAACGCTATCTAGGTATTTTTTTCTTGGTATTATTTGCTTTGACCATGAAAATTCTTTGTCCATAAAAAGCGAGGAATAATATAAGCTGGGAGGTAGAGGGTTTTCATAGTGAACAGAATATTCTGATGACCTAACTTAAAAAGAAAATTGTCTTTGTCTCCTTGGTTATTCATTAGAGAGGATTAAAAATTAAAAAGGTGTATGCTTAATGACTTTCTTAGACTGCAGGGAAATATTCTGGTCCCCCAAACCAAACCTCAGGCAAAACAGCAAACCATTGCCAGGAAGCTGAGCTCAGCTGAAAGCAGATTGTCAGACATTTTGAAGTCATTAAAACAACAGCTCATAAATACTGTGGAGATGAGCACTAGAGAACTCTTCATGAAGTTGATCTACTATAATCTGTCTTCACTTTATTGATTTCATACTGTTTGGCCCTTTACTGGACAGAGAAAATAAGGTAGATCTTCAGGGAAGCCCACCAGGGAGCTTATCTTATTGTAAGCAAGATACCACATTACAGTCCCACTTTCTGTTCTGTTTCATGCGGTTGGACAGTAAAGCTGCTTGAGAGCTGTGCTGAACAGAACCTGCATCAGCATTCATGGTGCTTTTAGTGCTGCATGATGGGCTCATGTGTTACTTGAATTTATAACACATCTTACGTTGTTTAATCAGGAAGACAAACATGAGAATGTGAGCACTTAACCTGAACTTAAGCATGATGAATACTTTACATTGAGAACAGATATCGTAGGCAGTCTTAAACAGCTACAATGTATGCTGAATTATTTCACTTTGTAATTAATCTTTTATCATCATCAGTCATCTTCCAGCAGGAACCATATTTCATGCACAACAACAGCAGTACACAACTAGAATATCCAAAAAAAACCCTTAAGCCCACAAAGCGAGAGAGGCTGTAATTCTCACTCACTTCTGCTTCAGATCAGTTCCCGAAGCAGAAATTATGGATGTCCACTGTAAGAAAAGATATATAGGATTCATATGTAATAGAATCTTGTATAAATCCGTAAGAATTTGACAGTAGGTTTTTCTTGTCCTAGTACAGACCCGTGGGGCAGATTGCTTACATATCCCACATTATAGTGGTGTGCTATTACAGCTTTCAGAGAAGATAAGGAGTATTTTGCCTTCAGGTCTCAAACTCTATAGAGTATTGTTGTAAAAATATAATTCATTGTTGATTTGCTCAATTTTTCATTTAGTTCCACATCACAACTTCAATGTTTCTAATCTGAAGTGCCAAAATAAAATATTTCAGCATTTAAATACCTGCTTTGAAAATTATTATTCTGCTAGAGATAATTCCTATCTTTTCTTCTAGTTCAAGAAGAAATGCAGTAATAGTTGGATTTTGCTTAAGATGGAAGTTTTCATTCTTGTTCAGCTTTTTTATGTAATTTAATTCTGAAGGTGTTTGGATTGAAACAATGGATATTCAAGAGACCAAATTCTTTCTTGCAGTGCACAGTCCTCTGGGGGTTTTCCTTCAGATTGTTATCAGTGGTCTTTTTCAGTTACACAGTATATAAACAAAAGCAGCTATATTGTGCTAATTCAGATATCCTTCTTATCCAATATCCTGCCTCTGACAGAGGCCCTTAGTGGATGCCTAGGAAACAGTGTAAGAAGGGAGGAAGCACACAGCTTCCAACAAAACATTACCTAGAAACTTCCTGTGCCAGACCATTATAAGTATTTTACTCTTTTTATGTAATAGTTACTGTTCTGTAACAGAACTTTTGTCCTGCTTTGAGTTATTTAAAACATTGCCTGAAGAATCTTTTCAGAAACATTTTAGAAACCTGAATACAAGATATCCAGTCTTCCTGTCCAAGAGCTTATTTATGATTTCAAAAGAGCCTCATAATATGTCTGTAAAATCTTACTTCCCTTGGCAAAACCCTCAATTTCTTTCTCCATTATGTATTATGCATTATGTTCATACGCCTACATCTGTTTCTCAGTATAGTTTCTTCCATTTACCTTGTAGAGAAAACATACTTACTGACCTGTGGCTTGTGCTCAGTTAATTTTAAAAAGTAGTGTCACATTTGTGATCTTAGCATGATACTGTACATCTGTGAAGAAGACTTCATCAGTATTTATTCAAAACCAACTTGAGTTGGTAATACCATTAGAGGAATTGGTGCAAGGGGAATGGTTTATTTGGGAGTTATCTCCGTGTTTTTTTGGCTGGCAGACAAGACCAGCAGGTAAAATAGGAATCAAATGCGAATTTTGCTTGAATTCTGCAATCCTGAGATGTGTATGCTCTGTCATGTCAAATGAAATAAACTATGTTCATCATGTTATACCAGGATTAGAGGAAGCATACCTATTAAAAAAAAATCCTGTTTAGAATCTAGAATTAGATAATTCTGGTTTTTAATACTGTGTAATATTTAAAGTCTTAATACAAACACATTCAAGTGCTCAGTCATTTATATTTCATGGGGGGAAAAATTCCTGTTAAATGAGAACACAGAAACCCATCATGTCTTCATCCTCTTAAGATCATAAGCTTGTAAGGCCCACAGAATTATTTAACATTCTTTTTTTTTTAATTTGGTGAGAAAATAAATCCTTTTAGTATCGTTAGAACAAAAATTTTGATGCTTAGAACTTTATTAGCAACTTTTTCCTAGGCAGCTTAAGACCAGGGAGTTGGGATGAAAACCTTTTTTTTATTTATATTTTCTGTTACTTAGCTGATCTCTAGTCCTAAATTTATTTTACTATAATTTTGGTAATTGTTTCTACTTAAATAGAAGTTATATTTTCTTTCACACATTTTACTGAAAATGAGACCATAAAAGTAGGTGGAAACGATTAAAGGGAACAGTTTGTAGAAGATTTCACTGAAGCGGGAATTGTTTCTGGATTAAGTTGGAACTCCCAGGTCAGGTTGGATGCTTTGAACAACCTGATCTAGTGAAACGTGCCCCTGCCTATGGAGGAGGGTTGGGACTAGGTGATCTTTAGGGGCTCTTTCAACCTAAGCCATTTTGAGATTCTCTGGAAGTGCAACTGAAGTGAAATGCTGAAGTGTAAGTACCTTAAAATGTGCTTTGGTATCACTCAGTCTGTAGTGCCCTCTGGTGAAAATGTAAAGAATTCTCAAATGCTTCCCTGGATAATAAAATCCATGCAAAAATTAAGCCATTTTCCATGACTAGAAGTAAGGGTTAAAATATGGATATTTTAATGCTTTTAGACTTTGACATAGGCTTTATGTGCAGAGTAATGTATAAGTTTAAGGTTTTATCATAGCAACTTGTTATTCATGGTTCATAGAGGCTATTTGAGATAAACTTAGATTAATTTTTTTCCTTCTTTTTTTCTTGTCTAACTGTCGGAATTATCTCTGTTTGTATTTTTAATTTAGTGCAATAATTGCTGCTTGAATTAGCTCTGGTTTTGCCTTAATTAGACTAGTTTCCATTTCTACTACTTCATTTCTTACGTCTAGTTTCCTTTGTTTTAGTAACCTGTGTGGGGGAAATTTCCTGTTACTTATTCTTTTATCTTTAAACACTTTCATCACAGTATTTCTATGTGTTCACTTCTGAAGATGAACAACATTTGGATAGTGTGTGGGTTATGAAATACAGGGAAAACAATTGAAGAAAACAGCGTGTGGACACACCTGCACTATCTCTGTGTGTTTCACAGGAAGACAGCAGAGAATAAATATTTTTAAATATAAATTTTTATGTACCTTTTGCAGGTGTATGATGATGGAAAATATGTGTATGTAGTAACAGAACTTATGAAAGGAGGAGAACTGCTGGATAAAATTCTTAGACAAAAATTTTTCTCAGAACGAGAAGCTAGTGCTGTTCTGTTCACAATAACAAAAACAGTTGAATATCTCCACACACAGGGGGTAAGTTTTCATCTCAGACAAAATGTTTTTAGCTATTGATATTCTTCTCTTTCAGAAGCATAAACTTTTATCTTGATACATTGTTCTGTGTGGTAAGTAGTTTTTGGTAAACAGGAATTTGTGTTGAAATCTAAACTTTCCTTATCAGCTCTGTATGTGTTCAGATAACTGAGATGATGCAACTGTTTCTGTTGTTCTTTGTGCAGTCTGTCAGCAGTTCTGTGAAATATGCAGATAATTACTAACAGAGAGGATATGAAGGGAAGAAAGTTCAGGAAGAAGTGCTAGGACCACTGTTGTTGCATAGCCATGGGACCTAATGTAATTTCAGTCTTGTCCTGTGATATACCCTGAAAATTTATTTTCCACCTATCATACTTGTAATTCTTTTGACTTCTTGGTTTTGAAAAACATTATTTATGACTTGTAACTCCTGTGCCATAGGGTCAGGAACTTGTAGGAGACAGATAATTAACGCTTTGGGAAATTAATTTGGAGACAGAGGAAGTAGTTCAAACATAGAGAAGGACTGTGTGATAATTGTATGGCAAGAAAGACAAGTTGTGTTGCATTTTTAAGAAAACAAGAAAAAGGGCATGGAGAAAAAGCAGAAAATAAGGGTGCAAGGAAAAAGTCAAGCTGCTAATACACGATGTTACCCAAGAAAAGATGCTTTTTAGAACATATAGTACTCAAATTATTTTAAATAACAACAATTCAATACACACTGTCATGGCTGGGAGCTATTATTTCAAAAAACTTATGATCAAAGTTATTTGGTATCTCATTCTGTGATTCATCACTGAAGTCACTTTCTCATGTGTGTGGTTTTTGGAGCCTGTGTGCACAGATTATAGTCCTTGGCCAGCAGCACCCATGGGAATTATGATCAAATCTTGATACCTTCTGTAAGGAAATAAAGATAATAGAATAACAAATCATAACTTGGTTCATTCTTGCCACATGTGGCTAAAAGAGGCCCAGAGCCCTTGCATCAAGTAAGGGATTTTAGGGGTTTTCATTTCTTTACAGTAGATTTCTGTAAATATTGGCATTTTAACTTCTGTTAGACCACATGCACTTTGGAATGTTTGCTTTTGTAAATTGTCAAGTCTTACATTAAGTACACCTCCACAGGAAAGCTGGCCATATATGTAAATAGTGGGCACTTCAGTAGTCTAATTATTTTTTGGAAGAGTCCCTCATATCTTCAGTGGATTTTCCTGTTGAAACTCTTTGGACACTGGAGGAGCTTATTTGAATATGCTATTAGGTAATGTCTGGTTTGACAATCTCTGCATCTATGTGCAGTCTCCACAACCCTTCCAGGAAGAGTTTCCTCATGGACATTGATATTTCTGAACTTGAAACTAGCTAAGCAAGGAAGTAAATCCTCAGGATAAGTAGTGCTTCCAATGCTCAATCACCCAAAGCATTTTAAAAGTATGAGGGCCAACATACAGTGATTAAGGATTTGCACAAGAGACATCATAAAACAGGTAAACAAGAAGTGTCATGTCCTCTTGGAGCAGCAGACTTCTGAATGCTGATAGGTAATTGAGACTGCTGGTCAAAAGTGCAATGCTAAGAAATAAAGAACTGAAAGTTCCTGCCTGTTATTTTGTTCTTTTCTGTTGCTCTAAAATAAAATGTTATTTCTACACAAAATACCAACATAATCTAAACAATCTGGCAATTAAAAAAAATTTTATTTTTAAATATTTTCAAAATTTACCTTCGGGGAAACAGCTTAACATAGGAAGGTGTTTCACTTACTCTTTTGTAAGACATAAACATTTTGGTTGCTTGGGAAGTAGTGTTTTAATTTGAAATGCACTGTTAAACTTCCTCGTCCTCCTACCTGAGCCTCGCTTCCCCTTCTTTCAAAAAAAGCATACAACTTAAACACACTGTTCTAGAAACTGCCAAATCTTCAGCTCTGTGGCGCTTCCATTGCTCACTTCATCCTTTCTACCCCTTTTAGAATCTCTCTCCAAAAAACCCCCAAAGCATCAACAAGAATAAAACTTTTTTTTTTTTAATTTGCCTCTTGGAGCAGTAAAGGTTGTTTGGCTCATTATTAAGGAAAAAACTAAAAAACAAGGGCAATCAGGAACTGATTATCTCATACACTGACATCTCAAGCCAAGATGTTCCCCTTAAGACCTACTGTTCCAAGTCAAATTCTTTAATATCATTTGTATATTTCAACTTACAAGGTGGTTATTTCCATAATTTTAGGTACTTGGTTTGTTAAATCTGAGAATTGCACAGGATTTGCATGCTGGAGAAGCCTCTATTCAATGGACTTAATGTGTTAAATAGCTTTGCAAAGTGCATGACCCTCTGCACTCATGTTGGTCTCATGTTGCTTTCCTGAAACCCTGCTAGGTTTGGATGAGTGTGCTTGGCTCCTGAATTTTAGATATCACTTACTTGCAGAAGTCTGGGGGTATCTTCTTGTTCTAATGTGATTACTTTAATTAAATATTTTGCAATCTCTTCCATTTAAATTTAACCACGAAAAGCTGTGTTTAACATTAGTGAAACACACAGCGCAACAAGGAAGATAAAGGCCCTCCTGTTATGCTTTAATATTTAAAGGAGGACACTTAGATCCACTCTGCTGTCTTACAGTGGTATTATACCCTCTTCTTCACAGAGAACAGAGTCTCTGGAGGCTGTAGGCTAACTTAGTCTTGTGAAGAAAATATAGAAGGTCAACTGATTTCAAAGACTGTCCTTGTGCATGCCAGGTTTTGTTAAGTCTTGTTATAACATAGCTTCAGATTCTGCCGGAACGTTGGCAGCTTCTCCAGTATTGTCAAGCATTTTACATCTTCAGCTTCTGCAAAAGGAGACACTTGGGAACCAGTACAGGCTTTTTTTGGTACTTGGAGAATACCTCTTCGATACTTTGTTGGGAGTTTTCTTATTATTATTATTAAAATTCCTTCTTCATCAGGCTTTAAGTGTTCTTCTGAGATTAATTCAGATTGTCTGAATGAAGAGAATGGAATACAGAGTTACTCCAGCAGTAAATAGTCTGTGGTTACATGACAAGGTGGCACATCAGTAGCTATGGGCACCCCTGACTCCAAAAGATATTAGAAACCAAAGGTTCTGATTTAAAGAGCCTGTTATGCATGTTAAAAGGAAGGACATGATTCAGCCATTAGAAGAGACATACGGAACTGTCTGTACGAATAAATCAGGGTGGCAGGGATGTCTGGAGGGGGTTTTATAGTTAAGAGTTTCCAAGTTAGAATTGTCATGCTCCAGACACCACAGATCATCAAAACACTGCAGCTGATGGTGGAAGCTGGAACTCTGGAATCTGAGCATGCAGATGGGAGACTCAAAATTAAGTAGCAGAATTGCCAATTAAAATTTAAAGGTTTTCATATGTTTAGCTTATTGTATTTAATGGCTTCTTTTTTTTTTTTTTTTTAGGTTGTTCACAGAGACCTGAAGCCTAGCAATATTCTTTATGTTGATGAATCTGGTAATCCAGAATCAATTAGAATTTGTGACTTTGGTTTTGCAAAACAACTGCGAGCAGAAAATGGTCTTCTGATGACTCCATGCTACACAGCAAATTTTGTTGCACCAGAGGTAAAGCCCAGGATAGTTTATATAGCTTGATATATTTTACTGGGATTTTTTTGCTAGATAGATTTTTTTTTTCCTTGTGCAACAAGTAGAATCATTCTGTAAACAGTAAAAATTTGAAATTTTACCATTTTTATAGCATAATCAAAGCATTTCCAAGCATTTTTTTCAAAAAAATATTTGTCTCCCTCAGGTTTTAAAGAGGCAAGGTTATGATGCTGCATGTGACATATGGAGCCTTGGTGTTCTACTTTATACCATGCTCACTGGGTAAGGGTAATGGTTATCATTTGCTTTGCTGTAGAATACCAAACCAATGTAAACAAAGCCAGTAATAAATGTAGGCCCACTGTTGCAGATGTTTCTGTCAAAGTACTGATTCATCTCAACTTTGGGGTTGAGAAAAGGGTTTGCCTTTAGTAAAATCCAAGTTTTCAGGGACCGGTGTGAAAAATTCTTTGCTTCTAATGTCTCCTCTATTTTAGGGCTTTAATTTCTGCTTAAAGGTGATTTTGCACTAAGAATTTATTGTTTCATGTGAAAATTAAAAGATAGATTAAGCAACATATATATTGAAGAAAATATATGTTGCAAATATAATTGCAATGCATTAAAGCATGTTTCTGTGCAAAATCCAGCCACTGAATGTTTTAAGTGATGCAGTTAAAATATAATAAATGCAATAGAAAGGCATTTGTATATGCAACAGAAATTAATTGTGTAAATGATGATAAGAAATTCAACTTTAGTACCAGAAGTTCAAAATGAAATTTATTTAGCAAATGCAGTAGCAACTGGCTTTTTATGCTAGGTTATTCAGGTTGCCACTTTGGTTAAGGGTTAACACCATCATAGATTTTTGTATTTTAAAATAAGTAAGTGACAAACATACTTGGTTTTAAGTGTATCTCTTTTTTGGTTGGGAACATTCTGATAGCAGCAAGAGTATGTACAGTCAAGCAAGGAAAGCTGGTGCACCTTTCTTCCTCTGGCATTAAACCAACATTTATTCATTCTCAGACATTTAGATTTACAACAGAATGGATTGGTTTAGTACTTGACTAGAATATGGAAGTTTAAGGAATACTTTCTGTAATTCAGGAACCACCAGTATTTGAACTGCTATAGGAAAAGTCTGATTTTCAGACCAGATACAGAGGAAATACATGCAATAAGAACAGATCTATAGTCAGTACCATATATTTTCCCATGTTACGAATAAATTCTTATTACATCTGTTTGACTATTTGTTGCCTATAATTATGTTGAAATTGCAATCAGATTTCTAATACTTACTGAGACCCAGGTAATGGAAGTTGCTGACATTGAATTTGTTTGGTTAAATAGCTACACTCCTTTTGCAAATGGTCCTGATGATACCCCAGAGGAGATTTTGGCCCGAATAGGAAGTGGGAAGTTCTCCCTCAGTGGTGGTTATTGGAACAGTGTTTCAGACACAGCTAAGGCAAGTATATTTGCTTTGTCTCTTGGGGGATCAGGGATGGATTGCAGCATTGTTGATTATAATGTATATGTTATATCATAGATGATTGGCTAAGTTCCCCCATTGTTATATTAAAATACTGATCTAATCCCTTATGTGCCTAGAATTTCGTTTCCTGGTTTTGATCAGTTCATGTGTCAGCAGTCACTTGCATGTAGGAGGAAAGAGCAGGTGTGACTTACACTGTAGCAGTTAACAGCTGTCCTCAGAAATCTAGTGTGTTTTATCAGTATTCACACATACAGTCATCCATGGTGAGAAGTGCTTTGATAAAGCTTCATGTGGAAGCATGACATTCAAAAATCATACAGGTACCCTAATTCATGATAATGATAAAGAAGATAATAAAGAAGAATTACTTTTTTGAGAATTCTGTTTTTAACAGCAAATAGATTATGAGCCTCAGTGTGCAATATCCCTTATGGTCCTTCTATATGGATCCTTAAAATGCTAAAATTTTCCACATTTAATTGGATACCATACTTGTGTTACCAAATGTCTATGAAGTCACATAATTAAAAAATAAACTGTTAGCATTGCTGGGTAGTTTTTCCTTTGTTTTAAACTGACATTATGCACATATTTTTATACCTCTAGAATCTTTTATAGTTTGGAACCATTAATCTGTTTTAAAGTCGAAGTTCTGCTGTTATTTCCATTGATCTTCATTGACAGGACCTTGTTTCAAAAATGCTTCATGTTGACCCTCATCAAAGACTGACTGCAGCCCAAGTTCTCAGTCACCCCTGGATAGTTCACTGTGACCAGTTGCCTCAATACCAGCTGAACAGGCAGGATGCTCCCCATTTAGTGAAGGTAAGTAGATTTTTTTTTCCAGCTTGCTGTTTAGCCAAAATTAGTGTAAACAAAAGGGGGTTTGTTTTTAAGGTTGGAGGTAGCAGGTGTATCTTCTAAATACTGTAGAAAAGTTGTTACGACTGGATGTTGCACAAAGCCATAAAATGAACTTACAATATGTAATGAGATTTAATGTGAAACCACTGACAGGTGATACATCTAATATATTTGAAAAGAAAAAAAAGTCTTGTGTTTAAAATCTGTTGGGTTTACTTACACTGGAAGGTTTAAGTGCTTTTAGAAACCAGCCTAAATCATTCTTCTCCAAGTGAAAAATGTCTGGTGACTATAGGGGAGTTTGCTAACTTTATCGTTTCAGAGGAGGGTACTTGCCAGTAACTGAAGGAAAACAGAATACTTTGTGATCACAGTAGAAGCTGAAGAGAAGTCAAAAGGGCAGTGTTAATTACTATGGTATCACACTTCTGCGCTCTGTCTGAAACTACCTGGAACTTTTTCACTTTGAACAAGCAGAGGAAAATCAAAAATAATTGAATTCTACTTCTTTGTATTCAACCTTGTTTTCAGTCCTACTTTCAAGAATCTCTTGTGCAACATAAAAGGGATCTAAAGAATATAATTAACACTCTCTCTGAGTCAGCTATTAGAAAGTTCTAGCATCCAAAACACAAGTGGGAAGTGGGGGAGTTCTGATCCCACAGCTCACAACTTTCTAAATTTTTTTAAAATTAATTTTATGTGCTGAATAATGTGGGTGATTTTTAAATATTTTGTTGAAAACTAAAATGGTTATGTAAGTGATAAGCAGATATGGGCTACCAATTGGATTTCATTCCCCAGCTCTTTCACATAACATAGTGGCAACCTAGCTTATACCTTCTGGGTTTGACTAAGCAATGTAAAACTATTTATTACCCTAAAAAACACTCGCTTCTAACACTGCTAGGACTTGAGTAATGCAGTAGTATGTTTCTGTTTTGTAGATGAAAATAGACTGAAAGTTGAAACTTCAGAGTTTCTGGCATTTAGCACTTCTGTAGTGTGTGCATCACTCACAACCTACTCTTACTGTTCTTTTCCCCTCTGCCCCACAGGGTGCAATGGCAGCAACTTATTCTGCTTTGAATCGTAATCAGTCACCAGTTTTGGAGCCAGTTGGCCGTTCTACTCTTGCTCAGAGGAGAGGTATTAAAAAAATTACCTCAACAGCCCTGTGAAATGACCTCAACCAGACACTTGGTACCACAGCATAAGATGATAGCACAAATCATGGCGACAGGTAGCACATATCTGACAGATACCTGCAAGCACACTCTGTCCCAGCTGGTACCTATAATGCTGCTGCTCCTGCTGCTGCTACTGCTTTCATCTACTCTCGCTTTAAACTGTTGATGTCAAGTTACTGATCATACTGGAGCTGCAAATGGAGTGACAAGTGGAAACAATGAAAATTACCATGTTCGCCACTGAGTAAACCAGAAGAATTGCAAATGCCACCTCTGTCAAAAATACACTGAATAAAGCACTCTGCACCACATAGCATTATTTTTATAAGGAATATTTTTTTTGTCCCCTAAAATATTCTTTGTTACAGGTCGAGATGGACAGTTTATGTTAAGCACTTAGCTTAAACAATCTGTTTATATTAGCACTATACATTGTGCCATCCAACATTTTGTATGTTTTTGTAAACAGTTCACAAGCAGTACATTTCCGTGCTGTTTTCTTTAATGTATACATGCCTTGTTTTACGTAGATATTATTAATCATTATGACAAGTAAGTCTGATTAAACAGTTCACCTGGATTAATCAGTATTGTTGAACAGCTCTAAAAGAAGCCTGACTGTTAAACAGCTATTGAATGTAATACTATGGATAAGTAGTTTTCCTTGCCTACGTCTTTTCTACATTTCTGTGTTTTTGATGCCACATGTCATGTTATGGAATTTAAGCAGTGAATCTCTCACTATACTATATATCCTATAGGTAATGTAACCCAGAGAAAAGATAACTTGCTCCATATCTCACTGTCTTTGTTAACCCTCCCCTCCCTTTTAGTCCCTCCCATCTAATCTCTGGACTCAGGAATTATTGCTAAATACTTTCTGATAGAGGACATTTCTATATGGTTTATTCTTATAATCCATTGTTAATATTTTATCTGTATTCTATGACTTTTGTTTAAGCTGCAAAGGAATTGTTCAGTGAATGAATGTTGGCATTACAGAAGAAAGGCAGAATTTGAAGTAAAAGCAAAACATATTGGTCGCTAATAAGCAGCAGCCTGCAAAGAGTAGATTTAAACTGCAGTCATTGCAGTTGCAAAACTGATGGATCTAATGTTCTGTCAGTTGCTTTCTGATAATTTTAATTAACACTGGAATGTGTTTGAATACAGTGAGTGTTCCATTCCACCAAAATTATAGGCTATGTAAAGTCCTTCCAGATAGGAAATGACTATTGGGAATTCTAGCTTTAATGAAATATGGATCTGGGAGAATGGTGGTTGGTGAACGGCTGTTGGTGAACAATGCAATTTTGTGTTTTGCGTAAGAAGGTATTTTCTTGGCTTAGTGGTATTAACTTTCTTTTATGGTGCTTAATTGGCTTATTTCCCTGAAATCATCAGTGGTCTGTTGATAGGAACAATCATCTTTATGACACCACAGATTTGTTCTGGATGGGAGTGTTTTCGTCCTGCCAGAATTTCTGAGTTCCTTGGGGAAGCTTCCTTTGCTAAATCTGCAAAGGATCCCACTTTTTTTTTCCCTTAAAATTTTGCTAAATATTTAATCCATGGTAGAATTGTGAAGAAATTAGTTTTATAAACAAGGATTCTTAAATTTGCCTAGTTCTCAGAAATTTGAAAACACAGCTCTTCCCAAGCAAATGGTATTTTTCCCTTACTTGGTGCTCTGGCATTGAAGTTCCCTTTAACTGTACAGATGCATCTACCCTTCCTTCAAGAAACATTTTTAAGTAGAGGCAGAAAAAGGCAATCTCAATTTTTTTTTTTTTTTTACAGTGTCAGCAATTCCAGAGAAATTTAGTAAAACCTTACCTCTCAAAAAAATATTTTTCAGCTCTGTGCACAATTTTAAATCAGGCTTTTCAAAATCCGGAAAATGTACTTTCTGGTGGCTTTTAAGGTGTTAATTAAAAGACTGTCATATCTAGTCAACCAAATTATTTAAATGCTGTTGAAATAAAAAGATGGCAGTACTTGCCAGTGTGTCAGTAATAACATTTCACTTCAGGAAGGAGTTCCTACTCTGTTCAGTTTGTGTATATAGGTACCTGGCAAAGAACAGACCAAAAAGAGGAAGTGTTAAGCTGCCTCACTATTGGCAATATCCACATTAAAATAATATAAAAATATTTTCAGTAGTTTTATTGTAGCCTTATTTTGTGGTCCTCAAACTCATTAGCCAAACAGTGAAGCAAACTCCTGCATTTTATGTATCTACACTCTCAAGTGAGCTGTTAATTTAGTCTAGACTTTACAAATGTTGCTATTAAGTCATGTATATATATCAGCAGAAGATGAACATTTTAAATTGTAGCAAAACAGGAAAATTCAGCACACCCTAAGCTGAATGGATTGAAGTCTAGATCCACTATATTTTTAAGTTACTTTCTAAACCAAGGTATAAAGAACCTGCCTAATCAGGGAGGTGTATTTTACAGCCAGGCATGGTTTATGTACCTTGCTTCCTGGTTTGGATCCATGTTCATGACTTCCACTTTTTTTTAATGTTTTTATAGCTGCAGTTGTTATAACCTATAAAGAAATCCACATAATGCTTCTCTGAGTCTCAGCACTTTTCTGTTAGAATGTGAGTTTATGACACACTGTGTAAATGCATTGCTGGACTGCTGCAAAGCATTAGCAAGTGACTCAGAGAGTCATGGAGGATAAAAAAAGAGAATACAGATACAGGTGAATTTGTCTATGTGTTGACCATGGTTTGTTTTAAATTTTTTTTAGTGTGAAATTACCATTTACTGTGCTTCAGAGCATGAGGGAACAGAGGGAAGAGTGAAGTTGCAATACTCATTAAATGCCATCTGTGTCCAGTAATGGCAAAGTTCTGTGTTCATAATCACTATAACGTTGAGGAAAACTTAAAAGGAGTTTTTCAAGAAAACAGTTAAAACTTTTTTCTGAAGAGACAAGGCCATAAGAAAATAGATTTACGTGTCTGGGATTTGTGTGTGTGTGTGTGTGGTTTGCTTTTGTAAATGTGGTGTTACCAACTAAAGCTGTGCTTTTCTATTACTGGAAGGAAAGAATTCAAAGTGTGCTGGCCCTTACTAAGCAGCAATGGTTAATAGATGAATTTTCACGTATGAAAATGATGTAAATGATTAGCTTTATCTTGATACTCTTGACCTAATCAAAGGGAAGGTGTACTTATGAGGGATGTAATTATTTTGCAACCTAGTTGGGGGGAAGTCTACTTAAACAATTTTTAAAAAATTGCAAAATCACAGATAAAATATTTTTCTACGATTCTATACAATCATACTTTATACTAGTTTTCTCAGCATGGCATGTAAGTGAGTCTAAGGTACTGTTCCAGGAAATCAGTGGTATTGTACCTTGTTCTAGACCATTACAATAGCATCTGTTAGATGCTTGGCACTGCTGTCATAGAACTGAAATGCTAGTTAAAAAATGATTAATTGTACTGAATACTTTAAATGGTTGTTTTATTCCGAGTCTGATCTAAGAGATGTTCCAATCATGCTATTAATGTGTAATTAAAACTGTTCCAGATGTAACTATGAACAGTTTTGGAAAGTATCATTGCTTGTTTTCCTGTCTAATGGCAGGTTTTGTAGTCTTCAAAAGAAATTGAAATTTCTACTATGAATAAACTTTCAAACATCTTAAAAGGTTGTTTTGTGTAATCATTTGTTCTGACCACACTGAGTGTGCTGTGCCAGCCAGAAAGGGTTTGTAAAAAGCAAGTGTCTCAACACTGCAGCACGTTAAGGAAGGTAAAGATGGAGACAAAGGAAAAACTCTAATTCAGCCGGTGCTTATAGACCTGATCTAACATATAGCAAGACCACAGTGCAAAGATATTTTATTTAAATACCCCATCAGATTCCAGTCAACTCTGAAGTACCACTTAATGCTAAATAAACATGCAATGCCTGCATTGCTCTGGACACTGAAAATATGGGCATGTTGGAAAATTAACACACTTTGTAAACATTTGAATCATAACACTATATGCAGAAACACTCCATAAACAACAGGCCCATGTTTTAGCAGCTCATACAACTTGGAAGCATACAGCTGTGATTCTTTTTAAGCTTGCAACCTGGAAAAGATGAGATATTTTCAAAGGTTGCATAGTGTACAAAAATTACAGTAATTGGGATAGAGGATATGTGAGGAATGCAAGCAGAGGTTTTGCTAAGTGTACCAAAAGAAAGGCATCAGGTAACATGGAGAGGTTTGTAATGGGTATGGGGCAAGGGTACTGCGATTTCCTCAGTGAGATTCACACCTGTAATCAGAGGTGTATATAGCTGTGGCCCTTTGTTCACACTAGACTTTGTGCTGCCTGTCTAAAAACATTTTTTAATTTATTTACAAGTGAACTGGATAATTTGTAGACCTCCAGAAATTCTGCAAAGGCAGAAAGGGGGGCTGGTATACCAAAGCTCCTGCTGTCAGCCTTCCTCACCTTCGTGCCCTCTTATTTACAGAATCAGAATAGTTTGGGTTGGAATGGAGCTTGAAAATCGTCCAGTTCCAATCCCCTGCCGTGGCAGGAACACTTCCCACTGGAGTAGGGTGCTCGGAGCCTCATCCCAGCATTGCCTTGAACACCTCCGGGCATGGGGCATCCACAGCTCCTCCTGGCAGCCTCACCACCCGCACAGTAAAGAATTTCTTCCTAATGCCTCATCTAAACCTACTGTCTTTCAATTTGAACCCACTCCTCCGTGTTCCGTCACTCCGAACTCCTGTAAATAGTCTTGCCCCATCTTTCCTGGCAGGTACTGTAGGTATGAAGGAGTTATCACTAACAGCGCTGGCCCCGGGCGCTGTGCTGTGTCGCGGGGCTGCAGGGGCGCGCACTGCCCGCTCCTGCACCTCCTTTTCCTTGAGCTCCGCCACAGGACGCCGGGCAGTGCCCAGGCGGGGCCCTTCTCCGGGCTATTCCCGGGGCCACTCCCGGGGCCACTGCCGGGGCCACTCCCGGGGCCACTCCCGGGGCCGGGCCGGGCCGGGCCGGGGAGCGGGCCCCGGGCGCGCCCTGCGCCGCTGGAGTCCGCCGGGCCGCGGGGGGGCGCTGTGGCCGGGTCGGCGCAGCGGCCGGAGCGCCGCGCACGAGCCCGCGCAGCCCCGGCCCCGCCGCTGGTCCCGCCCGGAGCCGCCGCCGAGCCCGAACCGCCGCCCCCGCCCGGAGCCCCTCCCGCCGCCCCTCCCGCAGCTCCTCCGCGGCGGAGCGTTCGGCGCCATGCCCAAGAATAAAGGTGAGTCGCCCTTTCCCTTGGCCGGGCCCGCGGCGGCGCGGCCGGGCCCAGGCGCGGTGGCGCAGGGCAGGCCCGCGGCCCCTCACGTGGAGCCCGCAGCCCGCAGCCCGCGGGCGGAGCGGCCCTCCCGGCGGGCCCGGGCCGGTTCCGCCCGCCGGGCGCGCCCCGGAGGCCGCCGGGGCCCGGCCGGGAGCGGGGCCCTGCCCGCGGCTCGCTCGCAGGGGCGGCCCTGCGGAGGAGGCGGCCCGGCTCCTCCGTGCCCGCGCCGGCAGCGCTGCTGCCGCTTCCCTTCTTCATTCCTCCGGAAAGAAACGCGGAAACCGTGAGGGAAAGGGAGCAGCAGATTTTAACAGCTGGGCAAGTATGAGTTGCTCTTATGCTCTTCGTGAAGAGCATCTAATGCTGTTGCCACGTGTGTGCCTTCTTAAAAGGGCAGCTTCACTTGGAGGGTAAGCTTCCTCTTGAGTATTTCAGGGATTTCAGCAGCACCGTAACTGAAGTTATTGATCTGCTCTTGAAGATTATGTACATCGGGCTATCCCACCGTTGTTTTTGAGGTATTTGGTAGCAGGGATCACAAACTGAAATTGGCCATCTTGTGAAAATCATTTTGAAGGCTGCTGTCACTCTAGAGCAACCAGGACAGCTTAAACAGTGGAGATTCTAATGTTTATTTACTTTGTTGTTACCCAGCTAAAAATTTAGACATAAAAACAAGCAAAAGAATCTAGATCTGGGTAGGATACTTAAAATAGCCATATAGAGTACAGGCATAAAAATCTCTGTAGGTCTGACTTTTCTCACTCACTGTATCTAGAGACAGCAAAACCTGCTTTTTAATTCTTCCACTTTTAATTTAGGCAAAGGAGGTAAAAACAGGCGACGAGGTAAGAATGAGAATGAATCAGAAAAAAGAGAACTGGTCTTCAAAGAAGATGGGCAAGGTGAGTCTTTAACTATAATATGGCAATGTCATTGTTTTCAGTCACATACTGTAAGTGACAGACTAGAGAGAGGTATTCTTATTGAGGTTGTATTTGAATTCTAAATGACGTATTGAATGTAAGAGAAAGACAGGAGGAGAAGGGAAGTTTTCAATATCTTCACCGCTTAAAAATGACATTTTTCTCTTCTTGACCTTAGTGCATGCTGCGTGTAAAGCAGCACTTAAATATTTCCTAGAAACCTCTTGATAGCTTTGTGTGAGGGTCTGTGAGCAGCTGGCTTAGCAGATGTGGTTCAGTTTCGCCAGTAATTCCCCTTGGGATGCACAGTCCCACTTTCTGTTTTATATGGACTCTAACATCTCTTGGATCCTTCTCTGAGCTGCCCGAAGTCACTGATGTGGCAGAGCAGCTCATCTCACTGTTCTGTCCCCTGATGGTTTAGTGCAGTTGGCTCCTGGGCTGGAAGTCTAGCAGTTATTAAAACAGGAGATGGAAGTGGGAGGTGAAGTAAGGCACAAGAGGGCTCAGCCAGGGGATGACTGGGATTCCCATCTGCCCTGCCTTCGGTGACAGTGAGCTCACCTCCCTTTCAGCTCGCCCTGTCTTGTGTGTGTCACACTCTGGTGGTTGCTCACATGATGTGAATGCTTTCCTAGAAACCAGTTAATCAGTTGGTTGTTAGAAATATGAGGAGGGTTTAAATCACTGTAGAAGTGCCACTGAACAAATTTCTGGTCTTTTGTGTTGGTTCTAAGCAGAAAAGGAGTTTACTTTTATGTACATCTGAAACTTAAGATCCTTTACATCTCCTGAGCAAAATCTATTTAATGAAACATTAGTCTCAGTTATGAACAGTCTTGTGGTTCGTTGGACTATCTAATTCTGTGGAGTTCTCCAGTATGTGATTTTTTGTAGCTTGGTGAGGGAGAAGATGAAATACAAGGTGAAGAGATCGAGGGTAGGGTTAGAGAGGTGCTTCACAGACCTCAGCTGAAGTCTGCTCTTTGCCTTCCAGCCAGAGTCTGATAAGGGTTATGTCCTTTCAAGGACAGTGGGGTGTTGTCCACAGAGCCTCTGCAAGAGGGATTCAGAGTCTCAGTAGGTGGCTGTACAGGGCATGCAGCTTTTTCCTGCCTCAGTGACAGCACTGAGATGTTGTCCTTTAAGACAGGTGCTGTGATGTTGTGATATACTTTCATACTCTGAGTGTGACTCAATAGCTCTGAGATTTTCTGTAGTAAACATTTGAGAGGGAACAAGAGGGTGGATGCAACCAAGAAGGAACAGTATTTGAAAATGTTAACATCAAGAATGATACAAAGCAGTGATACATTCTGCAGCCTGTGTGGGTACTTGAAGCTCTTCTCAGCAGTTCATGTTTGATAAAATATTACAGCAGATTTGGGTTACAGTGGAGAAGTTATTGGTTGTGTCTTGAAGCTGGATTTGTTCAGAAGTTTTGCTCTGTGGCACTTTGGGACATGACTTAGTGGTGGACTTAACAGTGCTGGATTAATGCTTGTACTTGTTGATCCTAAAGATCTTTTCCAGCCTAAATGATTCTGTATGTTACCATCTCTTTCAGAATATGCCCAGGTGATCAAGATGTTAGGCAATGGAAGACTGGAGGCATTATGTTTTGATGGTGTGAAGAGGTTATGTCATATTAGAGGGAAGCTAAGAAAAAAGGTAATTCTGAAGCATTGTAATAGGAAACAATGATGTTATGCATGATATGTAATTGTAAAAATTTACATAGGTAGCTTGTTACAAAAATGAATATTCCTACTGCACTTAATATTTTAAGCTACTTTTTTTGATAGTAAGCTAGTCTGTCCTTCTGTTTCCATTTCTGGCACAAGAATAGGCAGTCTTTGGCTCTTGGGTGAAGCTCACAGTTTTAGGGCTGCCTTTCCATGTGCATATTTCAGGGGAAGGTTTTTTTTGGCTGCTTATGAAATACAAGCTTTTCATATTCTAGAAAATTATAGATATTTAAAATAATAAAAATCTCCCTAATTGTAGATGGGATGTTTGGTGATTATTTATAAAATACACCTCCAATGCCATTGTTTCATTGTTCACTTCATCAGTTCCCAAAATATTTTTGTTGAAAGCTAATTGCAAAGATTTTTACCTTCAGGGATGTCAAAATGTGTGTTTGCATTCTTAACTTTGCCATCTTCAGATGGTGTCCCCTCTGGCCCTTGTCAGGTGTTACATCTTCCTGTCCTCTACTGGTGTATGGAGAGGAGGAGGAGATCCCTCAGTCTGTTGCCAGTGAAAGCAAACATTCACTGTCTTCATTCTGGATTGTTCAAATTTTTGAACAGCACTAAATGCACATGTATTGGGATCAGTGTAAGCAGTGCTAAAGCAGTGCTGCTTTACACACATATATATATATGCTGTATATAGTGCCTTCAAGAAAGTGTTGAAGTGGAGAATGTGTAT